ATATTGTATGGAAGGAGAGGGTGTTGCAACAGCTAGGATGGTTAAAAGGAAGAGGACATGGGATGTTAGGATGATAATCAACCACCAGCCTTATATTTATGTTAAAATTGACTGAAAACTTTAAAAAGTAACCACCCCCCCCCCCCCACTCCTTCTAACCACACTGGTTAGGCTATAGGTGTGGAGTGTACGAATAGTGAGATAGCCTGGGGCCAGGGGGTGCAGGCCTTGAGGTGTCACCGCTAGCTGTATTTTCTTAACATTTTGTTCATATCGGGTACAAAATGATATCTCAAAAGCTTTTTTTAAAAAAAAAATTAGATACCTATCCATAATGTACGTGTAGTTCAACTCTAAAGGGATTTTGTTTTTCATTAAATGAAAAGTGGGGTCATAGCGGAACATTTCACTCTTCAATTATCTGATTGGCTCTTTTAATTGATGGCTAAAAAAAAACCACACACAAGAAACCTGTCAATGAGTGCATGTTAATATTGCACAACACACCTACGCACTACAGGAGACATACTAGTGTGTCACGATACGCACTTTGGAATGCACTGTTTTAATTCCTGCACGCCCCCACAAGTCAATGGATTTTGTTAGGTTAACGCCCGTTCAGGATTGGGGAAAAGCGTAAGAGCTGTGAGTTGGGGACAACATGGATATCATAGACTTAGTGGAAGTGGCAAAATTTTTTTGTTACCGGTAAATACGTTCTATTAATACAGGTGTAAACTGGCACTTTATAATTAATGTTGCACCGTATTTGCTCAGGAATAAACACGTTTATCAAAGGGGGGGGGGGGATTCTTGGGTGAACTCCCATACTTTTTTCCACCAGGACTTGACCCAAGCGTGGACCATTAGATGTGTAAATACACTGGTACATTTTTTTTTTTTAAAAAACACAAAAAAACCAACATATTTAACAATTTTAATGATATTTAAAAAAGAAAAATTTTCAATTTTTTTTTTGTTACCGGTAAATACGTTCTATTAATACAGGTGTAAACTGGCACTTTATAATTAATGTTGGACCGTTTTTGCTCAGGAATAAACACGTTTATCAAAGGGGGGGGGGGATTCTTGGGTGAACTCCCATACTTTTTTCCACCAGGACTTGACCCAAGCGTGGACCATTAGATGTGTAAATACACTGGTACATTTTTTTTTTTTAAAACACACAAAAAAACCAACATATTTAACTATTGTGATGATATTTAATAACGAAACATTTTCCATTTTATCACTCTTTCACTATTTACACAACTCAATTCATTTATTCAAAATTGCATGATCTCGCATCGAGCCATTTCAAATGTCCTGGTTTCAAATAAATTCACTACCAGTAGTTAGATAGGCCTGAAGTAAGAGCTCATAAACATATCAAAATCCATTCTTTCAGACTACTTTTTATGCCACATAAGCATATAATGAAAAACCTCAAAATGCAGACACTTACTCATGGCTGAGATAACACATTTACAAATATAAATTTAGAGACACAATTCTCATTGAAAAGTTTTCTGCATAACAGTTTTGTTTTTTTTAAAATAAAAGCTTTATAGTTATTGCATGCGTAAGTGTTCCTAGTCTCAAGCATTCTCTGTTTAGGTCTGTTGAAAATATTTTTTTAACTTCGTTCTTTCTTAATGCATCAACATTCACTCAAACTTTACTACAAACGCAGCATTTTTGATACTCTTAATTCCTCCAGCTCTTTTTCTTCTAGTGCCAATTCCTCCGCCCTTTGCACTAGAAACTGTCTAAGTTCTTCAACTTCCAAAGGTCCTTTAACAACCTGAAAAAACCCATTAAAATAAAATAATGTTATGCAAAAATTGAGACATAGCGTAAAAATTTATCTCTGGATCATCCATTATAGTTTCACAGTTGACTTATCTAAAAATATGTTGGTAGGTTCTCCTATATCTCCTTAGGACAATGCACATTCAGGTAAAAATGTAGTGTTGTTGCATGATTATGAAGTACTGGTAGTAAGGATAAAAAGGTCTAGGGGGCAATTTTGGGAAAAAGCAGCACTTAACAATTCAGACAAATAAGGATTTTATTCAATTCCTGTCTCTTGCCAGGTTATGGCTCTAGAGGCTGGCAAAACAATTGCATAAAGATTGTATTTGTAATCACACTGCTGATCTTTCAGTCAATTCAGAAGGTTGCAGACTCAACTCAGTAGATAGCACACCATTCAGCAGAGTATCAAAAAGTTGGTGCATCCCTGATGTTTTGAATGAATAGAGTATATATCTCTATGGCGCCAGAGCCTGCCTCTTCACATCCTTTCACTCAGACCTAACTGACGCTTTTCTTTTTCATGCTAGGATTCCCAAATCATCCATCCATCTAATCCTAGTTTTGCTTTTAAGCTGTTTTCCTCTGGAATTTTGGTGGTGCACCCTCTTCACTCCTTTGCATTCTTTCTAAGTGTCCTGCCCAGTGTAGCCCGACTTTTTTCATTTCTGCTACTACTAGTGTGGGATCCTGATATAGACTATACAATTTCTGGTTGGTTTGTATTCTCCATCCATATTCATCCTTTGTTGGTCCATATAATTTCCGGAGAACTTTTCTCTTCCATGTTTTAAATAGGTTTTCTGCCGTTTTTGTTAGTTTCCAAGTTTCACTTGCATATGTTACAACTGGTCTGATTAAAGTTTTATATATATATAGTTTTCTGCCATTTTTCTTGCAGTGTTTTGAGTATTGAGTATTTTCTGACTACTAAAGTATGCCATGTTTCCCACCAATATTCTTTCTTTTATTTCTGTTAGTAGTTCATTTCTTTCATTTAAGAAAGATCCAAGGTATATGAATTGATTTACTTTGCTAGATGATTGAGTAGACAACTCTAGAATTTAATTACTATCAATCTTTCTTTATACCTATGAATTGTGGATGGTCTATCAGCACAATACAAGAATGTTTAGCCACTTTCATATGTCAAGTCTCAGGAAAATCCTTAACATCAATCATTTGGTAGGACAAGGTCCCAAAAACTGAGGTACCAGTACTCTCACAGGCAGATCTCCCCAGCATCTTTATCATTTTAATGCAGTTCCAGCTTTGTCGAGAGGGAAATTTTGTGCGAATGTCAGAAGACTGTGTGCCCAAAATAATATTTTAAGGTAAGCTTGAAGTAGGTTTGGAAGGCAGTTTGCTGGTGGACAGAAGAAACAGTTAAAAAAAAACGAAAGCATTTGATATAGACACAGACACATGGGAATAATCTGCAAAGGATCAAACATCCTGGCATTCCTCTGTACACAAAGGCTCCATACAACATGAAGCCAACAGAACAGCAGCTGCAGGGCACAAAAGACATCCCAGAAAAGGGTGGGTTCATGCTGCATCTAGAGAAGCCTCATCAATCCCCTGAATTTACTTACATTACAGAATCAGTCTCATCAATCATCTGTGCACCCACAGCCAAGTTTACAATTAGCATTCCATATACGATTAAGGTGGTCATGGTCAATAAGAATAAATATAATCTTTCTTTATTACATGCATACAAATTTATTAAAAGTAATGTGTTATGTTAAAAATCTTTGTATATTAAGGAATAATACCTTAATTCCAATAAAATGAGCACTTCCAATCATTGACTTGCAGACTTGCTCCAGTGACATACATGCAAATGAAGGATCTTGGCTTTTAACCTTGGCTATTTCATAAATATGTTTCAGTGTAATAATGCCAGAAACTTTTGTACCTGCAAGAATGTCAAACCTTTATATTTTGTTACTGACAACAACAAGATTTTTATATATTTAACAAGTCAATGAAAATTTATTTAAAACAAGAATCAAAAGAAATAACTCATATCTACATGGAACACTGTTGATATTGACTTTAAAACTAGAATAATATAAGAGAATATTAACCCGCTTCTGCCATTAATTCTGCTACTATGCCAGATGGTGATATGTCAAATATGACGCTCAGTTAGGGGGCCTTGCAACTTTAAAAGTAATCTATGTGTTTATTTTCTTTCATTAAAAAAAATGATATTTCAAAATTTGACATGAGTTTCCAAGCTGGTGTGAAGTTTACTAGACTAGCAAGTTTGATGTAGAAGTTATTTTTTTTAAATTGTAAAAAGTGATATTGATGATAGTATATATTTTACAAATTAATACTGGTACATAGATAATACTACTGGCAAGCAACAGTGATGCCAGGTGAAATTGTGCACAGTCAGCTAGATATTATAATAGAGAGCTTATTCTATAAATAACCATATTTTATTATGATTATTTTTTAAATAACATGTATGTTTCAATGGAGTTATGCCCCTTTGCTTAGGCATGCGAGGAAGTTTACAAACAAAAATTGATTAGGCAGTACTATTAGGTTGAACTAATCCTAATTTCAAGAATTAACAAATAACTGCTCTACCTGGTTTTGAAGAGCCTTTCTGGCAACCAGCTGCTTGCATTAGAAAATATTGTGTTGGGGGAGTCAGTAACTTGATATTATATGAGCGATCGGGCTAAATGAGGATAAAGAGAAATACGTATTCTGATAATAATAAGCTATTAAATCTGAGCAATTGCTTTTTTCATTAAACATGAATAAATTGAATTTTAAAAAAAATATACCCCTGTAAAAAAACTTGAATTGATGTGCAACTGAACAGTTTCTTTACAACATTAATATAAATTATTTGGTTAAATTGATTTCTCTCATTAAGGTCATATTGGCTTTGCCACCATACTTACATTAACTGAGACTTCTGTTTGAATTTTAATGCCAGGCTTTATATGTGCTGTCTTTTCATTGAAGTCTTTACAAAAGGGAGCAATCTGGATTTGCATCTAAAGTAACAAAATTAAATTTATTTCTCTTTAATGAAAATATAATAAATTTTAATACTAAATAAAGTGTGCGTAAACTGTTATAGTTTAAAAATGTTGCCTCTCTAAAACATTATCTGTGAAAATGAATACCGATATGTACAATGAAATAAAATTTAAAAATTCTATTTCAATCAATAAAAGAATTTTATATTATCTGATATAGATTACAAAGTAAACACATTTTTTAAAGCCATGCTGTCGAAATAAAATTAGTAATTTCTTATCAATTTGTATGTGCTCAACACACAAATGACAGTCAAATATAAAATTCGCTCTAGTTTTTTTTGTAATCTGCAATAATTTAATGACTACATTAAGTTCGTAACCCAATAGTATGCCAATAGTATAGCCTACGGTTAATACCTGTAAAAAAATCAAGTCGTAGACTATTACTTATATTTCTTTGCCTGTCTCTTGTACTGCTGTTCTGGAGCATCACAGGGAAGTGTCCAGCAGTAGTTAGCTAGCATTGTACTGGAACATTTTCCCTGGTATCTTTGTTTCATTGTTGCGATATCTTGATGAAATTGTTAGCCATGTTCAACATTAACCATACCATAGTTGTCAGGGAAGAAATCCAGATAGGAATGAAGGAAGTGGATCTTTAGAGAAATGGTGTGGCCAAGTTTCTGATACCACATCAGCATGTCTTCTACTAGTTCCTTGTAGTTTTCTCCCCAAACATTCCAGAGAAAGTATGTAGACACTAGGCAAAAAGCATTCCGTGCTAGTTTCGCATCACCCTGCAGCAAGTTGTTGAACCAGTCATCTTTTGTGAGCCTTGACCAGAGTTGGTTGCTGTATATTCTTCTCTCCAACTGCTTTGTTTTGTCTATGAGTCAATTCCTTCCGCAAGTAGTGCAATTCCCTTGCTCGGCTATCCCACTCTCATAAAAAATGCATGTATTATTTGTATATCCTACTGCAGTCCCATTAAAAGGGAAACTACCTTCAAATCTCTACAGAGGTGCCAACTGTACTTGGTATACTCAATGGAATTCAGTAGCTGCTTTCATGTGGACAGCATGCACTACTGGAATACACGGAATATGGTTTCCATTGTCAAAAAGCACAGCCGTAAGACTCAGTTTCAAAGAGTCTACAAATAGTCTCCATTCTTGTGGGTTGTAAGTGATTTTTAAGGCATCAATGAGGTTGTAAGTGATTTTTAAGGCATCAATGAGACCCTCAGCATCGGAAAAGAATACCAGAATACTTTCCTTTCTGAATTAAGGCTCCAACCGCTGGTGGCCCTTCTGATATAAAATAATTGTGACATCTTCTAGAAGAAGATTCTATTGTTGAAGTCTTGATTCTAACAATTCTGCATTGTTCTTGGATCACAAACCAAGTCATTTAGTTCTTCCTGTCTGGAGTTGACGATGCACCACAGTGCAAATCTGAATCATTGCATGCTGATGAAACAGGAGAACAGGTCGGATCACCCTTGTCCTTATCAGATGAATCAAGAGAATATTCTGCTGGAGGTTATTCTAGGCTTATTTAGGAAGAAGATGCAGTCCTACTGCATTTACACAGTGAAACATAGAAAATGAACTATACTATATGAAATATCTTCAAAACGAGATCCAATAAAAAAAATGCATGGTTATATTTGTGTTCAGCACACCAAGATACTACAGATTAGGACCTTTTAAAGTCAGTAACAATGTCAAAGTTGACCAGTGTTATTATAGACAAGACAATTTTAAAACTAAGCTTAAACTTAAACTTTTAAAAATTAGTACTTCAATAAAAATAACATTCATCTGTTAAACTTGGTCATGCTTATTGCTTATCATCAATAAAAGAGGATGCATAAAATTATATCAATATTAGGCTAAAAAAAAACCAGTAAAACTTAAACACACTACTATCAGCCATAGGCTATGGCCATATGATATCTCTACATTATAAATACCCGGTACACACAATAAATATACTTTTGTTGAAATGGATACTTTTTAAAAAATGGGAAAGGGTGAAAATTAACACTGAGATATTTTTTCAAAAGTAAGTATCTCATTCCCATATTAGAGAGTAATTATTAGGCCATACTGGTACTCAAATAATAGATAGGCCCCGAGTACACTTACAACAGGCCTACAATACTACAGTGGTACCTCGGGTTAGGAACGTCTCAGGTCATGAACAATTTGGGTTACAAACAACATTTTTTTTTTTAAATTGACAGTGCCTCAGAAAGCAGACAGTCAGGGAGAGCTCTGACGGTATGAGAAGAGGGCAGTCAGAGTTGCGAGATGAGAGAAAGTATAAGCGAAGTGTCAGCCTAATAAAGAACAAGATTATAATCATCAGATGTTATCGCCTGAGTTGTTTCCTTAGTGAATGCCAGATATAGATGAAGGTTAGCAGAGAGCAAGCAAGGTTTCCTTACAATGGTGGGCAGAAAGATTCCCAGTTGGTTGCCAAGAAACTAAGGATTCAGAATAGCAAAGAAACTGACACATTTCCCATGATGGTTTTATTGGTAAGAAACATAAAATAAATATTTTTTTAAAATTTTATTTATTTGGTTGCTTTCTTTCTCTTTAACTTTATCTAATACATGAAGTACACATTCTTTGCGTTTTGTCAGGTAAACGACAGGATTTTAATAAAACAGAAAGATTTTTTTCATCATGAAACGGATTGTCTCTATTTCACTGATTTCAATGTTCTGGGTTACAAACCCAGTTCTGGAACGAATTAAGTTCGTAACCCAAGGTATCACTGTACTTACTAACACTAACAAGTAACACAATATAGTAGGCTACCTTTGAAAATTGAAATACAAGGCTAATTTGGGGAAAATGAAAAGTTCAGTAAAAATTAAATTAGGCCTAGTGCATTAATAGAATACATTTCTATTTATTGCTAATTTAAAAAAAAGAATCACTGTTTTTATTTATTGGGCTTTTATTATTCAATTACTATTTTTCTAGACCAAAACAATAAGTTCCATAGCCATTTAATGAAGTCTTAGGTCTAGGCCTAGGCCTAGGCAATTCTAGGTCATTGTAGAAAATGACCAACATCCAGTTGACAACAATCCATGCCATGGGCATACAATGGCAAATATAGTAATGTATTTATGTTAAATTCCTTAAAATTTATTGAAATAGGCTTTAAAATTCAAATATTATGGCAACTAAATATTTATAATAATATGCTTGCATTCTGAATGATTTTGTTCATCTTACCAACCACACGTAAGGGGAGATAAGTAATAAAATATGCTAAAATATTACCACTAATAACAATAAGTAATGTAGTATGATCAGGACTATTTGGATTTAATGTTATGGAGAACAATGCCCAAATGTATAACATGACAAATAGGGTAAACTTTAAGAGATAGCACTGTGTTTATTTACCTTGGTTGCCACGACCCGCAAACTTTTGTCCTAAATATATCCCTGAACCTAACCTGAACCCTAAATCTATCCCTAAACCTAACCTGAACCCTAAACGTATCCCTAACCTGGGTTTTTACCCTATCGGAACCAGGGTGCTATCTCTTCACTAGCCGCAAATTCAAATAGTACTTAAAATTAAATAGTAGATGAGAGTAAAAGTAGCATTTGTATTAGCAGTAAATGCTTACCAAATACAAGTTCAATAAATATGAGTAGCCGATAGGAGCCGTAGTCCCGTTACCCCAGAACTTTTTGATTTGAATGATTATTTTGAGGTTGATTTGATTTGACTATTTTTTGTTGAATTTGCGTTTTGACCCACTGGTGGTAGTGATAGTATTAATAATCATATTGACATCATTGAGTTCATATTGTTATAAGTTATAGATAATTTATATGATTATAGTCATATCATAGTAATATTTACTTATTGATAAAACTAAAACATAATGATAATAATAATTAACGACGTCGTTGTCAACAAGTGTCTCACTAGTCACACCGAATAATTATTAACTTCAAAAGGATAAAAAAAATATTATAATAGACTTTACCTGACCAAGCTCGGGCCCCAAAGGAGGTGCTGGTGTAGCTTTTCCCGCTGGTATCAGTGCATTTAGAAATGTTTTACGTTTGACCTTCTCTACAATTTTTGCGGCAGCTTTTTTTGCAGCCATCTTGCCGAACTTGTGGGTCAGAGTAATCTCCCCCAAAACGCACAATTTTTATTTCATCTTTATATTCTACAGTACATTCTTGCAGTTTTTATTAGACAGTAAAATTTTTAATCTGACAAAAATCTGTTTTCACAATTGAGTAAGACTAAGAGTAATAATTTCCAGTTTTAGGCAAGTTAAGTTATCTTTATAGCCCTATCTCAATTTTGCTTAAATAATGACAAAATGGTTGTGCAAAACAACAGTACTAACAAAGTAAAAACCACATTTGAGTTCAGAATGTTTCACTGGCTAATAGCCCCCAAGTTGTTAACTTATTAACAATGTAGCGAATTTACACATGCTTTAAACATGCTTTATTTCATGAGAGAGGAAGCAAGCAAATCTCAAAGGTATAGTTGTGCCAGCAGACAGGAATGGCAACTAACACTGGCAGCACATTTTAAACATGTAGATTGACTGCAAGTACCATCAAGTCAATTATTGCATTTGTAAAAATCTGTGTATTATGAAGAAAGTTATTACCTATTGTACTCTTTTGTGTGAGCATATTAAGTTTTGATATCTACACGGCGTGTCGTTAAAAAATTTAACTCATAACACCAGTGTTGAACCCCAAAGTACCCTGTCAGTGACCACTGTAGGATTTCTGGTTTAAGTAACCAAATAAACCATTGTTCATTATATGGCTCCTTGGGATACGTTCACGAAGGAAACAAATATTTATTTTTGGAGAGAAAAGAACAAAATGGGTTGATAGATATTATTTTCACTTTCATTTCATTTGTGGATGTCATGGTTTGGTTAAGTAATACATAATAATTTGTTATTTTTTCAAATTTGCATGGGACAAAATTCTTCAAAGACGGATTTGTCACACAACACAAAAAAGACACTTGCCTTAAAAAGATCCTGAACAACAAATGGCCAAATAGCATCACTCACAAAGATCTACTAGAAAGGACTTACCGGGTGCCTATTGATAAAGACATCATAAAGAAAAGATGAAGGTGGATAGGGCATACTCTCCAAAAACCCCCAGATAGCAACACCAGACAATCAATAACATAGAATCCACAGGGAAAAAGAAAGAGAGGAAAGCCAAAGAATACATGGAGACGCGAGCTAGAGGCAGACACACAAAATATGGGATACACCTGGAAGCAACTGGAAAGGAAAGCACAGGACTGCGATGAATGGAAAATTTTTGTGGACGGCCTATGCCCCAGAAACAAATAATCAACACTAAAAAATTATGATTATTTAGTGATTCAAAAATATGATTCAGATAAATCTTTATTCAGTGATAAGCAATGCAAATCAAAGTTATAATAACAATATGAAAGAAGATGGCCTTAATTGAAGCATTACAATTAACAAATATTACAATAAATAAATATTAATACATATAGCTTTCAGTCACTTGACTGCGCACATTGGAGTTCTAATTTGACCTGGTCAAAGTGCAAAGTACTTTCATAAGAATTAATATTTTAAAATGAAATTCAATAATTATTTTTTCCATATATTCTCAAAAAACCAATAAAGAGCAAATATAAGGCCATGCACCCTGTTGACTGTCTCATCAAACATAAGCTTCCTTGCCTCCTCTGGTGTCATTTCTATGATGTCAATCATCTCCCCTTCAGTGGCTATCCCCCCACCTGGTCCAACCTTCATTGAATCTGTGATTTCAGCATAATATAAGTGAATTGTTGCTCCTGATGTTCCAACTCCATTTCTAGAACAAACAAAATAAGTTGTACAATATTTTGCCTTGTGAACATCCAACTTTTAATACTTCAATATGCCAACAGCTAATTGAAACCAACAAATCTTTTTTTTATTTTTACACCTTAACTCAGCAAGCACTGGATAGATATACAATTTTCTTATTTGTTTAAGAATTCTTTACCTCTGTTTTTTTGCAGTGTGTTGTAGTTTATTAATTAAATATTTATTAGTGGTAATATATATATATGGATAATATATACATATATATATATAATATATATGAATAACATATATATATCCTTATACAGTGACATTAATTTTCATACTATACAAATCATTTGGTTGCATATGGCATTTTTATCACAGGAACCTGAAATGATCTAAAATATTATGTGTAATTTAAATGGTTGGCATTAACCCAGAAATATTGCTTTTACAATTTAAAAATTAAAGATTAAATGAAATAGATTATAATCTCAAACATTTCAGATCCCTACTATGAATGAACTGTTGTACCTGCAGGTAGTTATTTTTTTAATATTTTCTAGAGGCACATCATATCCGCATTCTTCTAAAACTTCAGCTTTAGCAATATATGGAACTGGCTTATCTTTGTCCACAATTCCAGCACATAGTTCTATGGTAAGTCCCAGAGTGCCAGGGTATTTAGAGGTATCAACTGTTTCAATGCCATTATTTATTTCTGTTTTTACCACATTGATGTAGATTGCTGGGAAAACAAAAAAAAATTAAATATTAATTTATTTAAAAAAAAAAAAAAATCCCTTTTGAGTTTGTTTCAATGCCATTATTTATTTCTGTTTTTACCACATTGATGTAGATTGCTGGGAAAACAAAAAAAAAATTAAATATTAATTTATTTAAAAAAAAAAAAAAATCCCTTTTGAGTAAAGCACTTTAACAATATGATCTTAAAGAAGTTGCACAACTGAATCTTACTTCCACACAAATGCAGTTGAAGTAAATAAATAAATACTGATGAAACAAACATTTCAAAATAAACAATAATTTTGGGAACAAACGATTTTTTTAATAGTGCTATGAGTCATGAGTTATTTAAAATATCTTTTTAGAGACTAGCTTATTTCAAAATGCTCCTCAATTTTTTTTTTTTTTGATTTTCATTCCAGTAAATCAGTAAGTCAATGGCGATAATGGTCAATAGTTTTAAAGTGCATATTGACCTTTGAATTGACCTTGCTCTGCTTCTTACTAATTGACTATGACTTGTTTGATTACTGGAATAAAATCACATCTTTTTCAAAACTGACACAAATAAAAAGCTTAGGTTCTTTATGACTACAAGTTTGTGACTCTTTGATGAGGTGGTCTCATACAGAGATTGGATATTGTAAAATAATTTATTTTACAATAAAAGAGTGCTTTTTATTTTGTAAATTGATAATTTACAATATATGCCATGGCCATGCCAAAATTGTAGTTTTAATATAGATATACCATTCTGTTTTCTTCTCAAATCATAAATCATTGACATCCATGCTGTCTAACAAATACCTCATGGAGGGCCTTTTAGTTGAGCTAAAATGTCTAGATTTTACCTTAGCTCAGAGCAAATGAATTAGGAAATACTAGCATTAATAGCCTGATTCATAATAATCAAATTAAAAGAATCACCGGCATCCCATCAAAAATATGTAAACTTAATCTCAAGGTTTCAATTTTCATTTAAAAATGTAGATGTTTTCTTCCTACCTGGACGAAACTGTCGTACAAATACAAAAACATTTCTTGAAGAATTAAAGAGAAGAATTGCAACTCTGTGGAAAATGGTTAAAGATTAGAATTATAACGTTGGAAAAGATAAGCATTTTAGAATTTAGATAGATTACATATTTTTTTAAAAAAATATTTAAAAATTATGATTACATATTCCAACTATGGTTAATGACGAATAGTAAAAAAAAATTAAATATTACCCATCATGTACTCTCATTACATCCCATATTTTAGCAGCACCATTCTGAAATATATAGCCTACATTTTAAAAATGTTTTAGATTTTCATAAGTCTGGGTATAACACCAGGAAATGGGCGAAATAAAGTATGTGAAGATTTAAAAAATAAAAGGATGCAACAAAACAATGAACTTGTGGACAAAAAGCCTTCTTCAGCCAACAAACAACAGTAAAAAAAAAATAAAATAAAAATAACACTTAGCTGAGAGATTAAATATGGGCAAAATGGGATAGAAGAGAGGAAAAGTAAGTCCATTGAGATTGGTTGTAACAGAGAGGGGCGTAGAAAAAGTTTAACAAGTGAATAAGAACATGACATTCATGCCATGTGGTGTCAAGGAAATAAGACAAATGGTTGCTGCCATTATTATCCTATGTACTAGCCATGATGTTGTCAATGCCATTGTTTGCACTGGATGCCAGATGTCGTAATTAGGTGAGACAGGATTCCGCCTCTCTGACAGATGTACTGTACACCTCCATAATATTACGCAAGATAAGCAGTGTCACGTCTCAGAAAACTTCAATTGAACTTTAGAAGCAACCATAAGGGTTTAAAGGCTATTGCTATCACTGCTATTGTGTCTTGTACAAACACATTAAACTGGGTGAATTTAGGAAAACAACCTGATCCAGACTTATAGAACTTTGAAACCGCATGGCCTGAATGTCAAAGGGGTCTCCAAAGTTACATTACAGCTCTGATTGACAGGCATTCTCTGAACAGATGGCAAAACAAATGTAATTGCTTTTTGCCAATATACAGGTGCTTGCTAAGGCAGCGACTGCTTGTCTTAATTCCTTGTTGCAAATGTGGTCACATCTCGTTTCACCAGCTGCTCGCCTTAAACATTTAATCCACAGGTGAAGTGTTATTTCTCGAGGTCTGACCAAGGTAGGTAAAGGTAGACTTGGAAATAAAAACAGCGTTAATTATCCTGGCTTTGGTCTCATGTTTATTCTTTAGTGAGGCTATTTGGGAGCTGACTGTGTTTGCCCTCTGCACTACTGCACTCTTCTTGTCTCTATCTCACTCTCTGCGAAACTCAGTCCATTTTAAGGTCTTCAGTGAAAATTATTCCCAGGCCAGATATTTTAAAAAGTGGGCATAGGATAATAAGCCTGTTATTATTATTTAATTATGATTAAAATCATTTATTTGTATTTTGTTTGTCCAGCACAATTTTCATACATTTTTTGTTACAATTTATAAGCCTAATTTGTGTGCAAGAGCAAATAATCCAGATTATTACTCTTATTTGGTTATTATTTTAATTTTAGGAATGGGAGATGGTCGTAGTTGTCTAAGTTGTAGTAGTGGTAGTTACTATAAGTATAAGTAAGTTACTTTAACTTAGTAATCCCCTATTTTAGCGCAATTAATTATTTTAAGTGAAATAAATTCCCAAGTAAGTATAAGTAAGTATAGTATAGACACTTTAGACTATAGTGACACTGTGGGTAACTTACAATATATACATTCTTTTCTAAAATTAAATATCAGCAGAGTGATTAAAGTTAAATTCAACAAAGTACCATGACATTAGTCATTACTATTAGTATTAGTAACAACAAATACAAAGTTACAAAGCCAAAGCCTCACTACAGTCTACAGTAACAAATCAGTCAATAACATAACGAACGCCTGAAACTTACAAAGCAACATCTGCTCCCTTAGTCCTTACCTGTGTGTAATGAATTCGTTTAGGTACTATGTATTTCGAATTTTCACATGGACCCACAGTTACATCACTTATATTTTCCATTATCATTAAATATTTAAACTGCGAAGAAGTTAAATATTTTTAAAATTGATACACCTTCCCATTTCCAACTTGAGTAAAAGTGCAGAGTCAAATATACCATGTTGGCCAACAGCAGCTGTTTTATTTTTAAATATATTTACAGAAATTTTAATGTTTAGGACTGATGTTTCTGAAAATCGAATACAAAACTATGAATCAATTGCATCACAAATTTTGAAATTTTTTAGATTTAGAAAATTGATTTTAATAAACTTATTAGTATTATCATAATAAAGTTATGTATTTATTTTTATTTGACTTACGCTTTCAAGTGATACGGGCTGATGTAAACAATATGGTGGACAAGCGATAACAACAGACTTAATTTCTTTCTGACGATGTATTACTTTAGGAATTACAATGAGGGTGCTGATAGTGGAGACTATGAACAGCCAATAAGAGGTGCTTTGAAATTAACTTTATTTTTAAAAAATATGAAGTTCATGGTACGAAAATTTGAAACCCTACAAGTAGAGACGCAAGCGTACTGGCAGTGTGTTGTCAGTGGTACACGACAGTGTAATTTTTAGTTAGACACACCAGTCTTAATAGTTAAACCAAGTTAAAATTTATAGTTAATCCAGTAATGAGAGCAAGTTCAATTTTTAATTATGAATCTGGGTAAGCAATAAAGCTGCAATTCAAATAGGTATATAGCTCGTCACAAATCAACACATTCACATACAAGACTAACAAGTTGTCAACAAGCCAAGTTGATGCAGGCATGACTTCCTCCAATACCACAAATCCTATTTACTTTAATATTCAAATAAAGGTTATATATTATATAGGCTACTAATTATTACAATTTTATATTTATAATATTACTAATTATTATTATTATTACTATAACAAAATTGTTTGAGTTTGACAATGACATCACTGACACTATGTCAGCATACTCTGAGCATAGGACTGCATACAGTCATGTAGTTAAAGTTTAAGAAAGTGTTTGAACTTGAGTCCATCTTTTTATTTTCCTTATGCTCACAATTTATAGACATTGGCCTAATTTATTTTCATATGAATAGGAAATTTCACCAATTGCAATGTTCAGCGTCATAGCATATACTTTAATTATTAATATAGCTCTACTTTAGCCTTGAAAAAATAATTTTTTTGTACCGGGGTAATTATTATAATATTTAATGGTCACAGAAAGGGCAACTGAAAGTTTAGATGATTTGAGGAGCAACTTGCAAGGAGCTCCCCACGTTTCAGGATTTGTCAATAGTGGAGACAGCAAACATAATTTGAGTAAAACTGTTCACCCAAGAATACTAACCTGGGAAGATGAAAATGAATATCTACCAAGGCAGTCTGATGCAGCAGCTCAACTCAGAAATAAACTATTTTCAATGCAGGTACTCAATTTTTAGATGTTTAAAGTAAATGGTAAAACAGAAGAAAATAATGAACCTTAAAATGTGATGGAGTTTTAGTTAAATAATCAACATTTTATTTAAAATTCCTTGTTAAAATATTAATTTATTATATTTTATATTTTTAAGAATCTTTTTAATTAATGTTTTCTATTTTCTTATTTAAAATTATTCGATAAAAGCTTATAATTCTATTTCATACTCTTGTTTGATAAATACTAACAAAGCAATAGTAGAATGTTAAATTATATAACTATATTTCAGAGTGGCTAATAGAAATTTTATCCATACAGGAATCTCAAACACATTCAGTTAAACAAGGACAACTGCCATCACCAGAAGAAGCAGCCACCCTCTTAAAAAATCAGGCAGTTTATACAAGCCATCTAGAGGCTGAGTCTAGATACATCAAGGTTAATTCATTATATTATTTAGGAATAATCTTTTACTCTTTATTTTTTAACTTTTAATCTCTTAGTTATCTCTTTATGTGTAGTAAAGGATTGGCTAATTCTTGAAAATGGACTCAACATTTTGTATAAGCCACTTAAAAAATCCAACCAACATCTGATGTAACATTAAATATTTGTTTCTCAATGTTAATCTATTAAATTAAATGTTTTAAATTTATTGTTCAGCAACAAAAAAAAACCCAAACTATATGCAACAATTTTTCAACAGGAGGAAATGGCTGTCATAAGAATGAAATTAGCTGAAGTCCTTGAAGAAAACAGAGCTTTGCACACTGAACTCAAGACAACAGTTGTTCATGAAATACTTAAAGATGGAGGAGAGATAATAAATGTTAATACTTAAAATAGATGAGATAAATTAGATTAAGTGCTTGTTTTGCTGACAATCAAAGATTTTTTAAATATTTAACTTTTGCTGTGACATGCTTTATTTTTCCAACAAATTTAATCTAAAGTGTTGAAAATGTTAGTACATTTTTGTAGGTTTTTTTTTTTTTTTTGCATTAATGAGAAAAATGACATCTCTTTCACATTCATTTATTAATTAGAAAGGTTAATTATTTCACTGACATGTTTCAGCTGATGGGCTCATTGGATCAAATATTTATTTAATCTAAAGTGTTGAAAATGTTAGTACATTTTTGTAGGTTTTTTTTTTTTTTTGCATTAATGAGAAAAATGACATCTCTTTCACATTCAAGTAATAATTAGAAAGGTTAATTATGTCACTGACATGTTTCAGCTGATGGGCTCATTGGATCAAACATTCTCCGATTCCTACAGTAATGTGATGGGTCGTCATGATTTCAAACGATGGCAAGTAGAATTGGTTAGTATCAAATGGATGGATATTCATCTACTTAATTGATATGTACATTAGTAAATCAAGTCCATCTGGGATTTTAAAGTTTCCTAATGGGGAAATTGCTTATTTAAGATAATAGATTTTATGGTCAAAGGCTGTTTATGTACTTATGCAAAGTAAAAGGATCTTGGTATTTATGGCAGTAAAAAAAATTCACAGATGCATAGACACATTTAAAATTGCTATTATTATTAATTTTTAATATATTCAATCATAAAGCAATTGTCTTGAAATGCAACGACTATTACACATGTTACCTCAATTTTAGTTTTTATGTATGTACTTAAATCTATAAGCAATGTTGATAAAAATTGCAGTATTTTAAATATACATAAATTTTACATAAATAGTACAGTTTTTGCTAGTTCTTCTATGTGGTATTATGACATTCCCTGTTAATTTTAGAAGAAAATGAAATTTGCTTCCCTCTCACTCACCTATTTGTTATTAATCTTCAGGAGCGATTAAGCAGGCTTCATGCAGCCAAAACAGAGAGGTTGGAGTCACAGTTGGGCAATTCAAGGTTCATTACTCAAAAAATTATGTTTAAGATTATTAAGAATTGAACTTTTTATTTAAAAATTGTTGAAGCAAATTCATCTGCAAATTTTATTGAATGCACTTGGCCTTTAAAATATTAGTTATGAAACATTATTGATTATTTTCTGTATTTAACTTATAGAATGGTTGTGGAGAAGCTAGAGCAGACAGTTGAAGATCTGAAGTCACAACTCAGAATGCAGGAATCCATACCCACACATGAAAATGGACTTGTTGGTGCAGTGTTTCTCTCGGAGAATCAAAGAAACATAACTCATCGAACAATTGAAAAGCTCACCAAGTAAGAGTCTAATTAAAATGTATCTTTATCATGCATAGATCTGTGTTAAAAATAATGGCCTTGTTTATGATTGGCTACACCAGCTTATGAAATGTATAACAAAACATTACTTCCTTACTAGTATTTACTGTATGCACCAACTTTTTAAAATGTTTGTTAAAGCTCAATTCTGTGTTACCAAATAAATGACTTTGCTGGTGTAAGTTCCTTAAATAATGCTCTAAGCAAAGGCATGGTGTTTTTTTTTTTACATATGTAAATATTCAATAATTTTGATATTTTGGGGCATATTTTCTGTACAGGGAGCGTGATGACCTGATGGATCATGTAACATCTCTACAAGCCCAACTTAAAGACATGGCACAGAGAGAAGAGGATGCTTACCAGCAGATGAAGAAGGGAATTCAGCTTGTTGAACAGGCGCAGTTGGAACAGACTGAAGTAAGAATCATGCCCCATATTTAGCTTTTGAATTTTATCCCACCCCTTCCTTCCTGACCGCCATTTAATTAAATATTGATTTGTTAATGAAGCATTAGCAGACACCAGCAAGTAGAGCATAAAGACCATGCTCCTTACATTTACATTGGCCTGGGGATCTGTCTCACTTGGGATACATTCGTATGTCCAAAGCAGTCATCTAAATGCCAGTAGCACAACAGAGGAGCTCCCAGACAGATTTATAAAGACCAGCTCAAGCATCAGCTAACCAAGAACAAAATATCTGGGAACACTGACAGCATCTGATAGGAACAGTTAGAGACAGTTAGAGATCCTTTGTTTGATTTGTAGTATGTTGAAATCACAAGGCAACAACTAAACCTTCATTTTCTTAATAACAGCCAGTCAGTTCAAAGGTCCACTTTACTCACAACTATTTCTATGTACATTGTGACTTGTCTAGGCCCTGGTGCAGAAAGAGCAGATCCGTGATGAGCTAGTGAGAACAAGACAACGGTTTGAGGAGCATGTCAGAGAATCTCAAACATTGATAAGAGCTGAGAGAGAGACGGTCAGGAGAGAAAATCAAACTTTAATAGAGGACTTAAATAACAAGGTAAGATGAATACCAGACTAAGTCCGATGGTGATATAGTCATAGAGGAAGAATGCTTTGGATCTATGGTTCAAGCCAATGTGGTTATGTTGGTTGTTTTTTTTTAAATGAAACCTTATAAGATTTTAAAATACAAATAAGTTCAGCATATCATTGTTATAATATTTAGGGCAGTTTTTAAAATTCTGTATCATGTCTAGCTTTGTACAGCATTAAAAAGCATTGAATTTGATACCAAAAAAAAAAGCTTGTGAAAATGCATTCTCTTGCTGTTGAATAATTGTGTTAAAATCTGTGACATACTGGATGGTAAACAATTTAGGTTTATTTCTTGCCATATTGTTTTGATTTAAACAACAGCTGAAAGAGCTTGGAGAGCACTACACCCTGGTTCAAGCCAAGTATGAGAAAGAGGTCCGAGATAAAGCAAGCTTAAGCACTGAAATAAGTGAACTGAAGTCTCAACTTAGGACTTACAACCGAGAGGTTACAGTGGTAAGTGGTGTGAGAGGTCACGCTGTGAGAGATCATTGTGGTAAGTTGTGTGAGAGATCACTCCGTGAAAAGTCACTGTGGTAAGTTGTGTGATGAGTGACAGTAGTACGTTGTGTAAGAGGTCATTGTGTTAAGTTGTGAGAGGTCACTCTGTGAGAGGTTGCTGGTAAGGTGTGTGAGGAGCAGGGCTGCCACTCACTTTTTTCAAATTTCCCAAGATTTGGTGAACAAATTTCCCAAGATTTCCCAAGATCATACAAATATATAAGAGTTTTTTTTTTAAAGGGGGGTTTTCTATGTAATTAATGTAATAATAGATTGAATCAATGCCCCTGAAAAACATGGTATATTAATGGACTGAAATTTATTGAAAAAGACATTTAAAACATGTTTATCACATTTTAAAAAAAAAAATTTGTTTTTAAAAAAATAATTTATAATCCAAAATATCAATACCCACTGGAGTTAGGCTACTAAATATTACCTCCGAATTCTCTGATAAAAATATAATCTACAATACATGTGTAATAGAAGTCACTTGGAAAAAAAAAGCATACAAGGCTAATCAACACAGAATTCCTTTTACAAAGGCAAAAGTTTCTTCATCAAAAAATGATTTTTTATTATTGTAAATCTGTTGATTACAAGTGGGGTTTGCAAAGCAATTAAGCAAAATTTATTAATAATAATTGTAGTTAAAATGGATTGATATTACGATGAAAACAATAAGTGTTTTATTTTTTCTTGTAAAATTTACATTATAACGATTTTTTCACAAAAAAAAAAATACTTTTAAAGGAATTGTTCATTTATAATCCTACAACGTAGGCCTATACTGCCTATACTATTAATATCTTAGTTACCCGTGTTTCAATCCACAAATATTTTTTCCAATTGATGAAAATTAGGCTGGATTTTTTACAGACGCATTATATTTTGAACACATTGTAGAAGTAATTGAAATAATAAAATTCTACTATGGCATGGATTCTTGATTGAACACTATCGTTCACTCTTTGGCTTGTACTGTTTTTCGTATGGTTGCTAATGTCTAAGAGCATAATGATAAAGTTTCCGAGCCTACCCCCCCCCCCATTTAATAAACATTCAAAACCTGGATGTAATTTGTAAATCTTCAATTTTTTTTTTTAAAGAGAAAATTGAATTTTTTTTTAAAATTATTAACTTTTTAATAATTCACAATATTAACTTTAAAATCAGAAGAGTTTTTATTTATTTTATGAGTGGATTTAAAAATTAAAACCAGAAAAGAAAATGAAAACAATTAATTTTTTGCCTTGTTACTTTAAAAATTATTTTGCTTTATTTTTACTTTATTTTTTATCAGATATTGTTGCGTTTTTTTCGAAAAATATAACAAAATTTTCCCCCCAGTTAAGATTTCCCAAGGTTTTGCATGATTTTCAAAATTATTCCCCAGATCCCAAGGGGGGTCGTGAATTCCCAAGATCTTGGGAAATTTCCCAAGGTGTGGTAGCCCTGGTGAGGAGTGACAGTAGTACGTTGTGTGAGAAGTTACAATAAGTTGTGTGACAGGCAGACAAAAAAAAAAAAGTAAAAAATTTGGTAAATCTAAAAATCCCTAAACTTAAAGCACAAGGGGATCTTTTAAAAATAAATATTTATTATGCTAAGTAGGAAAGTGTTAATTCTTCGCAATTTAGAAAAAATTTAATGTGTTCATGTTGGCATACATTTAGCCTATACCATTCAGGAAAATATTTTTAACTACCTTCTTCCCAGACATCTGAAAGCTACAGAACAGAGACAACAAATGCATCCCTTCAGCGCAACTCTGCACTTTATGAGTCCAACAGGTTGAGATCTGAGCTGGAGAAAGTCCAACATGACTATGATCAAGTAGGTTGTGTCGATCTCAGCTTTATCAAGAACACTTTCATTTAACTAAATCAGTCATTGAACACCATCACCCACAATATTAAAATAATTAAGCTATATTCATATGTCATTTTTTTATTCCGTGACTGCCCAGGAGATGAGCAGAACAAAGATTGAACTAGATGATCTTAGACAGAGGTTAAACAAGGCTGAAAGGGAGCTTGTCAATTCCAAAGAGGAATGCATTCACATGACCTCAAACATTCAGGCACTAGAGAGAGAGGTATTCCTTGCTGATAAATGTTAGATTCATCTGGCAACTGATTTGTAACTTTTATGCTATTCAGTGCTCAGTTCTTATAACAGGAAAAAACTGATGCTAACAATTTCTACTTAGATAGGATGTTTTAGAATTTCCTTTAAAATTTTTAAAGATTGTTAATATTAATTGTAATCGTATGTTGAATTCTACTCCTGACATGTTACTTATAACTAATATTTATATATATATATATATAAATTTCCAGTTGTGACATGATTCCCATCCTATACTTCTTAATTATGGTTATGATGGTTATAAAAGCACGAGATAAAATCCAGAGGTTTTCAATCACAATAATATAACTTTTATTTACGTTGACATAACTTCACAGTATAAAATAAGATATCCAATAGAATAAAACAGTCGTCATTATCTCACATACTTCATAATCCAAATAGATGAACGATAGTTGTTCTGATATAATATGATGTAGCTTTAAGCAATGCAAGTGCAAAAATAACAATACAAAATCTGTCTTCACGCTCCAAAAATCAGCTATCCACTTCACTTTCTCTCTGCGCATGACATTCAAAACTTTATCTTAATACTAAAAATAACAAAACAATTTATCCTTGTAGTTATGGAGCTGTTTCATTAATATTATCAATTTTTTTTGTGTGTGTTTTTTTAAAACTAATTAACTCTAACAAATGATATAGATCTATTTTTTAACATTTACATGTTTTTTTTGTTGTTTTTTAAAATAAATTTTAAAATAGGTCATCTTATGACTTGAAAAGGTTATTTTCAATGAATAATCTATGGTAATACTAATACTAGTAATCTATATTCCAAAGCTGCATCTGGCCAAGATGGCTAGAGACACAATAGAGAGGTCTCGCTTAGAAGATCTAAAAGTTATCCGCCAGAGAGCACAAGACAGGGAAGAGGAGATCCTATTAAAAATGGAAGAAGCAGATGACAGACACAGTGAGTAATATATTGTTTTTAGGTGTTTTTTTTTTCAATTAACTTCCTGTCCAATACATTCTGGCATCATTATAAGATAAAAAGACAAGATCAGCATGTATTATGACCTACATTATAAATAGAAGGTTAGCATGTAATGGGACCTATATTATAATGACAAGGTCATCATATACTAGGACTTAAATTATAATGACAAGGTCATCATGTTCGGGGGCCTTCATCATAAATACAAGATCAGTTAGCATTCATCTTTTCATTTTCTCTTTTTAACCACAATATATTTAAAAAGTGCACCAAAGTTCCACTACTATGTTAGGTAATTACGTTGTTATAAAAAAAGACTACTTATGTATTTCTTTGGGACTGCTAGTCTTAATGCTAGAGCCACCTGATATCTGTGACATCATTTGACCATTCAATTAAAAAACCAAGACTGTTCATAATTACAACTTATACACAGGAACTCAACAGTCATTCTTACTGCACAATTATTTGAAAAAAAATTGCTACAGGCTAAAATTTAAGGAATAACGAAAAAATCTAACTAGGATTTTCAAGACTGAAAATAATATGTACTATGAATGAAATAAACAAACTTTCATTTATTTGGATCAATAAAAGTATCTTATCTTATCGTATCCAAATTGACAGTGAAATTGGGCATAATATTAAAAATTTGATAGGGGGTACATCAGAATTGTTTAAATGTATTGTGTGTGTGCGGGTTGGGGGAGTGGGACACCAAACCAACAGAATGCTGCCGTCTCATGAACCTAAAGAAAAACTATCAAAAGCTAAAGTTTATTTCCAACTTAACCTCTGTAGTGTTACTTGTGGCAGTTTTATCTTTGCAAAGGTAGCAGCCATTTGAAATGGCAAAAATATAATTTGTAAAATAAAACCGGATTAATTTTACTTTAACTCTTTGTAATAAATTATTCATCATCATTATCAGTGGCGCCACAGCCCATGTAGGGCCCTCGCCTGCTCCACCACGCCCTTCCATTTATAACGATCCATGGCTTTCAACCTCCATGCGCAAACCCCCAACTGGTGTAAATCCTTCTCTACATCATCGATTCATCTCAGCCTTGGGCGACTGGTGAGTGGTCTGCCGCCCAGGTTTCTTTCTGCTGTATATCACTTTTGCTGCTCTACATTCGGCATCCTTTCAATATGTCCTGCCCAGTGTAGTCTGCCTTTTTTTATCGTTGCGACTATGGGTGGGTCTTCGTACAATTGTTACAGCTCTTGGTTTGTACGGATTCTCCAGACATCATTTTCCATCACTGGGCCATATATTTTTCTGAGGATTTTCCTCTCCCATGTATTGAGAAGGTTCTCTGCTTTTCTGGTAAGGGTCCAAGTCTCACTAGCGTAAGTTACTACTGGTCTTATGATAGTGATAATAAATTATTACAAAGACATTTTTTTAAAATATAGTTTGTTACAATCACAAAGTATAAAATATTTGCCTTGGGGAATTTCCTGCTATGCAGTGCTACCCATGTCATGATTAAAAATGAATGAGAGTTTAATTTTTTCTGTCCTCTGTTGACTTTTTCATCCAATTGTGAGCACAGAATGCTTTACAAAGGAAATTTACAGACACCATTTGATCTTGATGATATTGGCGTTCAAATCATTATTCTGTTATTTATTAGCCCATCCTCTATGGCAGGAATCATAAATGTACCACTTACCCTTTAATAAAACTTTCTAACATTTACTTTGTATTGTCTTTAGATCAGGCAACACATGAGATGGACACAATGCTTCTTAAACAGAACAAATTAATTATGAAGCTCAGGGAAGAGTGTAAAAAACAAGCTCTTCATTTGGAGAAGACAGTTAAAAAATACAGGTCAGTATACAAATATATATATTATATAAATAATAATTTTTATTCTGTACTTGAAATTGATTATACATTTTAATTTTCATATAATATTGAATCGATAAAAGCAGTGCTGTGCCAGTTGCAGCCTGAAGTTGTCTTTCTTGTTCAAAAGAAAGATGCACAATTTAAAGATCATAGATATTTGAATATCCATTTAAATGTGCATACACAACATGTTCAATTATCTTTGTATGCCTGTGTTATTTCTTTGGAAGAGATATCCTGCTGCATACACAAATAGAGACTAATTGAAAATATATCCCTAAAGTTAAGCCAAGTGCTTATCACAATCCAGGGCTGAAAGGTTTATTAAAATAAATTCTTCAAGAATCTACATTGTACAAACCTTTAATTTATATAGGTAACCCTAATAAAGTAGTAAAGCACATGGCAACTTCCCTTGTAGCCCTGCCCTCATTTCCACTGTGCAAAAAAATACAATCAACTATTCATCTAATAAAACTTAATTCATCTTGACATGATATGTTAATAAAATATAATTTTAATTGTTAAAAATACTGTATAATCACTTAATCTATTTCATGCTAAATTAATCAGATCACAGAATGGGAAGCTCCAACAGTGCAACACAGAGCTAATGAAGCGTATGGAACGTATGACACATCGCGTAACAGAACTAGAAAATCAGGAAGAGAGACACAGCCAAGTACACGACAAAATGAGAGAGAGGTTACGGTCGCTGGATGAGCAGGGTCAGAACCAGGCGGTGCAGGTAGGCTGTAGATTTAATCTTAATATTTCAAACACTTTGTTATTAATTTCATAATTGGTTATTGATTTTTGTAAGATGCTTTCAATTCATATATTTTAGCATTAAATAAATGTATTTTTTAAAACTTGAGCTAGTTACATTTTATGAAACCTGATTCACTATTTAAATTTTAATTTTGAAAAGTATGAGATTTAAGCGTAAATATCTACGCCCACCTTGATAAAAGAGAAAAAAAAAATGTTTGGTAGACTTTTGAAATTAAGTTTTCTGGATATATATTGAAACATTTTTTCTTTGCACCCTAGCTGGTGGAAGCCATCACAAAATACAGCCAAGTGAGCCGTGATCGCCAGCTGCTGGCCAAGGAAGTGGAGTTTTTGCGCCTTCAATTACACAAGGCCAACCAGGTGTCGCCTGAAATTTTACGCTTGAATTCATCATCCAAAGCCATGGTGGATGACATACTTAACACCATGACTAAAGATGAGAGAGATGGAACTATGTCTCTCATTCCACTGCTGCAGATCAGTGATCCCCCTGAAAAAATTAGTCTTGAGGATCTGGGGCCCGAATAATATTCACTATTCAAAATAGAACATTTCAAGAAGCAATGTCAAATCTTTTTTTTAAAAATCCATTTTTGGAACAAGGATTGTTTAATTTATTTTTTACTAAAGAATATATATAAATTCTATGTTATAGTTCCAGATCCATCCTAATAGCAGTTCTCCTCAACTTCTTTCACTAGCCGAACGCCTAGACCCTGGCCAACGTTTTGGGGCATACCACAAGTAAAAACATCAGAGAAAATCATTTCTGAGAAATTAAATTATCATCATAAATTGTTAGAACTTTTGCATGCTTACCAAACTTTGACAGATCACATGTTAAAATCTGCTGAAAATTTAGTTAATCCCTGTTTACATTGTAATTTTTATTTTAGGCAGCAAATCTGTGTTATTGGGACTTGCCAAATTTACCAGTGCACACATTCTGTAAATGTTTGAAAGCTTGGTAATAAGATAATTTTGTTTCTTTTTACAAGATTTTATATCATTTTTGAGTGCTCACAGTAAATTCTGTGCCTTTTCCTCCCCTTTATGGCATTATGCTATGCTGCGACACACCTAGCATGGGATGCAGAGCTCTGTTTATACTAGTTTTTTTTCTAGATTCGCAGTGGGAGAAAACTAAGATCAAGTTCTTTTTATGTTTAAGAAAATCCTTTTTGTAACAGGCAAAATGAAGTCTAATAAAGACTACCGATTTAATGTTTTAACTCACCCCTGCCTTCACCACCATTCCATTTTCCCAAACTTCCCTGTAAGACCACCACATAGTGCCCTTCTAAAGAATTTCTAATTGTATTTTCATCTTGTTGATAAGTGGATTTACAAACATGTGACATTTTAAGATTTCTTGTGCAGTGTTCACTGTTGCTAAAATTATTGTGGTTGACAGGGTTTCTTCAGGGTTGAGTGAACTGGTGGGTGAGCTCAGATCTCCTTTTTAGTTTTATGCCTAGGTAAAGAGTTAAGTCACTTTAACAGAATTTTTGTTAAGTATTCGATGTTTAAAAAAGTAAATAATTCTGCTTTTGTCGATAATTTAAAGATAATTTTAATTCTAAATAAATAGTAGAAAATTTTTAAAATCTAAAAATAAAAAAGACTTTCTATCAAAGACGAGTTAAAACGCAGAAGTAGAAAATAATTTTAAATTTCTTAAAAGGCATTTCTCAAAGAAAGTCTGAATTAGCAAGTTCAGTTGATGCAGTTATAAAACAGACTCAAGTAGAAAAGAATATATTGAAACTGATGCAGAAATATGGCAGTACTTGGGGGGCCCAACCCGCCTTGCTTTTTATTTATATTTATTACATCCCCCCCCCCCCCAAACAATTATTGACACATACAATGTATTTCTTAAAAGGAATTTCTCAAAGAAAGTTTGAATTAGCAAGTTCAGTTGATGCAGTTATAAAACAAACTCAAGTAGAAAAGAATATATTGAAACTGATGCAAAAATATGGCAGTACTTGGGGGGCCCAACCCGCCTTGCTTTTTATTTATATTTATTACATCCCCCCCCCCCCCAAACAATTATTGACACATACAATGTATTGCACAGATTAGTGATCTTTGACTCCATGAAGGTTAACAACTATTCAGATCTCATAAACAATTGCAAACACAAGGATCTATTTCTATAAAATAGAAGTAATAAATCAATAGGTATTGGGTATGTCTGTATTTATTTGAATTTATTATTAAACTTGAAGTGCGGCTGTAATTTTTTTCAATGCAATAATCTCTAATGTAGATGTTTATGTAGAACAATGTATGTGCATTTTCTAATCTATTGAAAATAAACTGTGATACTTATAAGCTATTTCAATGAAGATTTTGAATTATTTCTACCAGCATTAAATTATTCATATCATTGTTAAAGGTTTGAAAGGAAATCTGATATTTTTAAAATACCGGTAATAAATATGCAATCATGAGGATTTCAAAATAAAAAGAAAAGTAATATAAATTGGTGGGTGACTGTGCTCAGGTTTGTTGCGTTAAATCAATGTTTCCATTGCTTTGTGTTACCCATTTTTATTTTTGTTTTATACACCGGTAAAAGGGAATTTTATTCAATATTTTATCCTCTGCACAAAACATTGTCAAAAATATTTTCAGAGAAGATCAAGATATGCCAGTTACTTTTTACTAAGTGGAGGCTCTTAGAGCTCTCTCCAATACCCAAATGTGATACCATAGAGCTCTCTCCAACACCCAAACATGATATCATAATGCTCTCTCTTATTTTGAAAAAAGATTAAAATGTGTTCATTAAATAACACCACTAGCAATGACTGATATAAAACAAATCTTGAAAACACCAATAAGACATTGTCAAATATTTCACTAGTTTCATAAGTTGTTTTATTTGAACAGGACAATCTGTTCTTATTGAAATTGAAGTTATTGAAGTATTAAAACGTTCCTAATATTAATTTTCTCACCGCCCTTCCTTTTTTTCGCTAATTAATATTTTTTTAAAACACAACAAGAATCTATTAAAGTAACTGAAGTTTTTGGTTAAAATGAACAAAATTGTTTGTACAAAATAGTAATTAAAATCAAAACATTTAAAAACAAAAAAAGCTACATTCATTTTGCCATTAATTTGGATGGCCCATTGAATCACAAAAACAATTAATGAAAGAATGTATTTTAAAAGAGCAATAACCTTCTACTAAGATTATAATAACAAGTTTTAAACATCCTAAAATGTACAGACATTTAATATGGCAGGTCTATTCCCAAAAGGTGAACCAAATATATGTACAATAAATGTTAAGATTTTATTCTTTTAAAAAATATTTCACATGCTTTAATATCAAAGATAAAAAACTTTCTTCTTAATTTTAGCATTTTTTTTTCAATGATTGTAAATAATAAAAAAAAAATACATTCTAGAAAAATAATTAGATTACTAAAAAAAAATTATTATTGTCTTTCTCTGGCTAAAAAGTAGAGCCAGAGACTGGATTTTTTAAATTTCTTCTAACTTACTATTATATACTTAAAGTTGGACAGCCATTTTCTAGGACATGATGAGAGAAATCGTAAAAGCTATTTCAAAAATAATCACTGGAAAACACATCACTGCATTAATTTAAATTAGATAAAGACTTGCATCACAGTTCCCTCTAATTTCACAAACAGGTGCATCTCATAAAAACATGAACTTCAGCCACATCTTCTGTAAAATGGTTTGAATATATTTTTTATTTGCCTATGATTCCGAGTCACCAAACATCCCAGACTCTAGATTTTGGGGAAAATTGCTTATAATTATTTCTAAAAATTGAAAGGTTTATAAATAATTTTTTTTTTTTAATTTTCCAATGAAGAATACATTTAACCTACTGATATTATTAACATTCACATTATTTAGTGAGGAGCTGATCTTAGCAAAAATATATCAATGCAATGGACTTTTGGTTCTTGTTTTTCACCATCATTTCTTGAGTTAGTGGGCTGTAAATAAATTATAAGACAAAAAAATATATATTTTGTTTAATCTATTCATAAAAATGAATAATGTACTGTGCTGAATGGCTAAAAGGATAAAAAAAAATTGTTGCCTTATATCATAAGTTATAAACGGTAATTTAAAAAAAAAAAAAAATATCTGCAATTTCAAGATTTCAGTTGACCTTTAAAATTATGTTATTTTGGTCCTTTTTTTTGCTTACAGAATATTATTAGCATGTAATTTCATTTTTTACAATTCAAATCTAACTAAAGACAATGATAATGGGTTAAAGCAGTGGGGCCAATTGGAAGAAGGGGAATAGCTATACAGGAAAATATTCTATTTGCAAATTTACTATTGTTATGTTGGCCCTTTGTTGTAAAATAAATATATTTCAGTTATTGTTCATTTTATACTACAATAATGAATCTCAAAACCTAAACAGACCACGAGTATTGAAATTCAATCTCCCTGACAGCAGTACATAATTTTTATGAATTTTTTTATTGTGGGGGGAAGATTGGGAAACACTGGATTAGGGGCCATCTTTATACAGGGGGTCCTCAGGTTACGTCAAACGCGACTTAAATTTTAAGGCGTTTCGCGGTTACATTGTCATCTCCCATAATGTTTTAAAATTACTTTTTTTTTTACTATTTCACTTCATTGTTGTTGAGTATCTATGTGCTCCAAGTGTTTCCGTTTATTTATTTACCACAGGAATAACGGTCAGGAATGGTTCCCCTTTTTATTCTTACTGTTTCACTTCATTAGTTACGGGCTCCATTTGAGTACCATAGATGCTTACGTGGATGGGTTCCAACTTACGGTGAAAATCATATCACATTGTGCCGTTTACATATGCAAAATAGTCAAATTTTAGACCACCTCCACCCTGTTGCAACTGTAAACTTTTGTGCAGTCTTTTTGTGTAATGTGACTACAATGAGCTCACACATACCCCCCCCCAACCAAAAAAAACTATTTATAAATGATTATGTTCACGTATATGAATGTCCGACACTTTCAGCCAACAGCAGAAGGGGCAGCACAAATGTTGACTCGCTGTGGATGGCACTAGCCTAAGATATGCCATTGCTCTAGGATAGAGGGAAAAGGGTGGCATGTATTGCTAAACAAAGTATTTTTAATATTTACCACCAATTTTATTTTTGTCATATACTGGTATTGCAATACATAATATTTTACTTAAAGTTTTGTCTTAAGGCCGAAAAAGACAATATAACATAACTGAGATGTAATCTTTTTTAAGGCAATATGGAGACCTCTTCCCCCTCCCCCCACCAATTTGTGATAAAAGTGGGAGGAGCGGTTAAAATTTTTTAGATGATAGGTGGGGCGTGGGGAAAAACCATTTGGGAATCACCGCAGTAAATTTGGTTTAAAATTTTGTCATGGGTTTGCCCTCTCCATCTTTTTATAGTGCCGTTGTGTTCAAAATTAAAAAAATAATTAAGCTATTTCAGATAATTAGGTACAACCCTGAGTTTCTCTGTATGAGCGAACTGCCCCTCTAGAGACGTGCTACTCGAGTTAACATTTATACAAAATTATATTAATACACCAATGGAATGTTTTTATTGAAGACTCTTTGAAATTAATATTTTCAAAGCGAGGTTATTTTGCCAGTCTGAGCATTTTGATCAATGGATATAGATTTTACCGATATCTTTTGGATATTTTTTCCGGAGGAACTGGTAATAAAGTGAATAAAAGTGTATTCGTTAAAACTGTAACTTGGGTTTTATTATTTTGAATAGTTTAAAAATAGTATTTATTCTTTTTCTTCATTTCTACACTTTTCAGTGAGTAGCTGTAGCACAGGACCATGTGGAACCAAGGTTTTGTGATACTTAAATGAAATTGAGCATATCTAGAGGGATACAATAAAGTTGTGACGTTCACCACCAAATTATAATGTACTGGGTTTTTAATACGCTTTTTCTTAGGTTGCTTTGTCCGTTGATTAGTCTGTGTGTCGATCAAATCTTGCAGCTCAATTTTGACTCACTTCCTGATCTCCAAATGATCTGAAACTGTGTACACTTACCCAACCATGGTGATTATATAACCCTTCATGATTATTAGGTCACCAGTGACCTCTGCTGACCCTTGAGTGACCTATTTGGGTCAAATCTTGCATAGCTAATTCATTCCATTAGTCAAGTTCATGATTGATGGGAGCATACAACAATAATGCAAGGCAGTTGTGAGAACTCATATTTCCATGCTTAAATAATCTGTAGCATAACAAATGTGTCGCATAATACTTACTTGCAGCAATGCAAACATATGCATGTATCAAACATTTAATATTGTATTTGTCAAAGTCATACGATGATATTTTATTTCATGGGCATCCCCTGGCTTTTTAGTTATATGACTGTAACAACTCTGATGTTTTGGGAGACATTTATTTTATAGCTGTTAGGAAATTTTAAAAAAATTATGTTGTTTTATTAAGTATTTTGTGTATATTCTTTATCGTTTATTTTTTTTTTTAAATTTAATAACATTAGACTATAACTGTAGGGTTTGCATTTGAAGGACTGATTTTTGCATTAGGGTGACCAATTTTCAATTTAGGGAGACTGATTTTAACATTAGGGATTTTAGGTTTCAGGTTAGGTAGAGTGATAGATTTTATTGTTGAAGGTTTTTTACAATAATTATTTCATTAAATGTGAGGGCTCTTTGCTAACTTTTCACTTGTTTATAAATTTTTCCATTTTTTCCAATTAATTAATAAAAGTTCTTTAATATTATCATATTTAAGAACACTAAGATTCAATTTTTAAAATGTTTTTGCTTGATGAAATAACCCATTCTCATCATTTTCCTTAATTTTCTTTTGTCTCTGTAAGGAGCTAAAACGCACCATTTCCTTTTTCTCTTCTCATCCCCAAGGTTGGGTACTATTTTTTTTATAGTCTACTGCCATGGCAACACAGATGGCGGCCATGTAAAAAAAAATAATAGTAGTACCCAAGCGGGGGGAAAGTGATACCAGTTTGTCTGAAATTACCAACTATAAATAAAAATTATGTCACATGTACCGTGGACTACAGTAAGTCACTAGCATAAATGTTACTGGTATCTAGTGAGTTTTTGTGACAACACATAGCAACAGAATAAGATAATTACAAAATATTTTGTTGATACTTTTATAGCCTTTTAAAAATAAATAGAAATCATAGATTTAACAGATTTTTAAGTAACATTAGCAGCTCCATTAGAGATATTAGTAGAGGCTGCCAGAATTAAGTGTAATTATTGCAGAATTTGTGCATAAGTGTACATACTTTCTGCAGAGACCAAAGCCCTGCCATACACAACAGTACGCAAAATCTCCCCTCGGTGCTCACATAGACGGCCCCTTACCATTGCAACAGTCAGGTCCAAGTATATCTCACCTTATTAGTGATGCGGTTTTAAAATCTATTCAAGATTTCTTCTTCTTTGTTTTCAATGCAATTTCTGAATCGATGTTACTGCTAGGACCTGGACAAGAAACGAAAAGGTTAAACATTAAATAAATGAGTCAACCAAAGGATTAGGAGAAAATTCAACAACAGCATGACCTTTTCATTGCTTTGAGAAACTATTTCCTTCGAATGCAGCTGTTTCTTCTTATTTATGGGGACTGGTTGCAATTTGATTCAAACCAACAGTAATGGAATTCATCAGCCTTTGACATTATGTACACATGTACCCGTGCCTAAACTCAAAATAATGGTTGGTGCAAGTGGACAAAACCTTAAAAAACGTATCTTTCATCTGACTGAATCTGATTGACATTGCAGCTGTTAAGTATTTTTAATTATTTTTTGGATAATCAAAATAACTTAAAATTTTTTTATATTTGAGTAATACATGTACAAGTTGTAGGTTAAATACTTTTAATACATGTACAAGTTGTAGGTTAAATATTTTTAATACATGTACAAGTTGTAGGTAAAATACTTTTAATACATGTACAAGTTGTAGGTTACATTTTTTTAATACATGTACAAGTTGTAGGTTACATATTTAAAGTGAAATGTCTGTAAACTAATTTTGTAAAGATGTCAAGATAAATTAAACAACCGGTAAACATGATGTAGAATAGCGCAAGCAACAAACAAACTACACATGCTCGAGTGTTAATCAGATCATAAAGATGACAGGTATGACCTCATGAACAATGTGAAGCCTTTTTTTTTGTGTCAACTTAAATGGTGGTGCTCTCTATTTAGTAATGTCAACAATGTTTCTTTATTTCACATTATGCCTGTCAATCACTGTCTCAAGATGTCACTAATAAGGTAGACTATCCCTACTGCCCATATCAACCACTCTCTTGTCCTGCCAATTAATTACTTAGTTTCCCAAGGATCCTCCCTGGTTATATATGTGACCAACAACTTGGCCAATTACATCTTGAATAGATGTTGATCTCACAGACCAAATCTAATGGGTCCGGTAGATGTCAATCTGGTTCAACTAATAAGAAATTTAGCAAGAACTGACAATAATGCATCTATTCAACGAAGATAAAACAAATATGGTATATTTTATGTTAATTTACCACTGCCTTTTGCGCTTGAGGTTTCCTGGACTGGAAAAAATATGGGCATGTGCTGATGATAGATCTGGACATCTTTAGGCAAGAACAAGCACAGTATTATGCACTCAACCTGAAAGTAGATGAACACTTCATGTCAAAAATGCTTGGCAATAATCTCTAGATGTATATATTTTCTGGCACTATTAAATAGCTAAAATATCACACTGTTTTATCAATTTTCTATAATAGCTTGGTTATTGTCCCACTGATAGCTCAGGGACATAATAATTAATATTTACATTAAAATTTTTAGCTGCAAAGTCTCAGCCCATTAACTAGTTACCCTGGTTCTTATAAGATGAAAATTTATTAGGATCCACAATGTTGGGATCTTCAAAACAGCGTATTTTTTCAGCAGCATTTAATCTTAGGAAAATAACCTTGAATGCAAGAGTTTCTAAACTTCCCCTGGGGAAGTAGGTGACACGTAAAGATTTCATTTGACCTCACCAAAGGTCCCCAATGGTACACTCCAAGGATGTTTGGTGCCACTATGGTTTCTTGAACTTGAACCACAGTGGCACCACACATCCTTGAGGTCTGCCATTGGGGACCTTTGATGATGTCCAATCAATCCCAGCTCAATGTCCTCATGTTATCGAGTAAGAGACTAATTCACCATCTATATTGCTGACTGTCCTGCTCACCAGTCAATATGTTTTCTATTTAATAATTTTATCTACAAATATATTACAAGTCTTCTCATTAAAATACAAACTTTGTCATGACTAACATGTAACAATACTAGCCTCTTTTGCGTAAGAATCATTTTCAAGCCACTTTCTAATAGTCTTTAAGGCAACTTCGCAAGCATTTTTATTGGGGTAACCTGGAGAAGAAAATAAATCTTAAATGTTCTTCAAATATATTTCCACACTCAAATTGAAAAAATGTCAAGATTTAGCAGATGAATAAATTTGATCATTGCTCATTACATGCTAGAAAGACAAACATTTTTTTGAAGAAACTAGTAGTTTGAGCCCAACAGCTAAGGAAAACCTAGGGTCAAATATTTACATATGGTTAGGGGTGTTAACGAGGGCCATGCGAAGGGGGCACCCAACACTGGGGGGAGGGGGCCTATGCCCCACAAAAATCATCTTAAGATCGGACGTTTATAGTGAATGAGATGATAAAATCCAAAGTACCTCAAAAGGAAAAGGGGCACTAAAATCATATTTTTACTGGTCTGCATCGGATGGCATTTTTTACTATATATTCAGGGGCACCAGTTCTTCTTCTAGGCACCTGGTGCTTACAATAGGACATAACATAAATTCCAGTAGGCAGGAGTTCCAGCCTCAGCAATACGATAAAATAATTCCATATTAATGAAATTCAGGCAAAACAATGCCAATGATACCAAGCTGTGCCAGCCAACTGACATTCCCTTGGATCTACCAGCTATGAATAGCTAGGGTAACTTCCAATTGGCAAACAGTTGACTACCCATAAAACACCTTGCACATGCTTCAGAGATAAGCTAGAGAGAGTTCTGTGAGCTAACACCCTTGTCTCTAAAGATAGATAAATATCAAATAAAATGACAAAAAACTCATATTTTAAAAGGTAAGAAAATATCAATGAACTACTTACCATAAATTCCAGTAGAAATGCATGGGAAAGCCTGAAATATGAGAATAGTTTCTTTTTACTATGGGAAAAAAGTATATAAAATATCTCAAGGAACCAGTAAAAAAAATTAAAGCTGAGAGTTTGAGATGAAACAAGTTAGTGGAACCTGATAGAGATATTAAAGGCATAGTTAACTGCTAATAGAAATGTATGACTAACAATGCTGGGATATTATGGTAGAAAATAGTGGACTAATGTATGTTAAAGCTTGAAATGAACAGACAGGACAATAAAGGATAATTTTTCGGCAATGTGGTGAGCTCCAGACACCTAAGTTTTTAAAATTATTATTATTTTTTTTTTTTTGTCATGTCTGCTGAAGAGGGCTTTTAGCCAAAATGGTCTCCTTTTACTATCCTGTCTTTTCATTTCAAGTTTCAACATACATTGTGCCACTATTTCCTTCACACATCTTTGAACACAAGCTGAACAAAGAGGAGACAGTTTTTACTCACTATTGACTTTAATTCCTTCTTTTTAAGCAGACTCAGACATTTTTTATAGCAGCTCTCAAGGAGTTTGGGCTTTTCCCCTTGAGGACCAACTGTATGAATGACATCTGAAAATAAGGCGCATATAGTAAGTTAATAATAAAATAATTACAATTCATTGAATTGATTTCCGTGGATTAATGTTTAAAACAATAGGAATGTTCTTGATCAAATGGTTAACTGCGCCAGAATGTTCTTAATCTGAGTACTAACACAGTTTGAATGTTTTTTAATTTATGTTTAACATAATTTAACACACAATACTTAAATATAAAAAAAAGGTAATTTACAATTCTCTAATATATAATCCATTAATATGAAATCCTTTAAAAGATAAAACTTAGTTTGAAACTATCTGTAAAATTAAAGTCCGAACGCCCAATGTAATTTGGCCAGTTGCCAATTTCAAATATCGGATTGAATTCAACCCTATTTGGGTGTCTTGATAATTCTATTGCTAAGTTTCAATAATTTGTTGTTTAGAGATGAATAATAACTTCTCTGTGCAGTATTTTCCATAATTTGAAAATAAATGCAGAACTAAAAAATTTTTTCAATAAAATTATTGATGTTAATGTGCTGGTAGCCGTTTTTTTTTAAATTTCCAGTGTGCCTCAAGGGGTTTACGTGAGAATAAAATGTAACAGCCTGAGGTACTTACAATTAGCTGGTAGACGATATCCTCCGGTTATTTTTGCATCTCCGGTGTCACACCCTTTCAGTGTCTCACATTCTGCCAAGAGAGTGGGACCTGCCGCTCTGTGAATAGCCCCATCCACTGAAATAAAAATGTCAAAAGCATTCTCAAATTGAAACTATTATTAGCCTTCATAAGATTTCAATCAGTCAGCCCTTACCCTTAACCAGCATTTTCCAAACTATTTTGCCCCCACTATTCACCTCAGCACCCAAAAGAGTTTTTGTACCCCCTACCCTTAGAGGAAGAGCTTTAAAAAAAAAGAGGTTCATGCTGCCATCAAGAAGAATATGTTTTAATTTTGCAGCCTACTTAGACTTAGGCCTCTAACTTAAATTAAGTGCTAAATATGAGTATAGCATGGCTAAATGTAGAAAAAGACAGTGGTTAAGAAATGTCTTCAACCTCAACCCCTTTAAAAAAAAACTGTCAAATTGCCACCTGTGCCCTATGATAGCAATTCCTGTTTGGGAAACACTGCACTAATCAAAATTGCATCTCTTCAACATCATACTTCCCCTTACTTCAACTCTAATTTCAATCTAAATTTCTAAGAGAATGGTCTAAATTGTTTAAGTTTGACAATGGGTGAAAATGTTAGTCTTACAATTAAACAATTCATGATTTATTATGAGTAAATTGATCATATAAAAATGGTAGCAGGGAATAAACATGTATATAATTTTTAGGTACAAAACTTCTCATTTACTTGTTAAATTACCCTTAAACAAGTTTCAGAGGTGTAGTCTTATGAATAGGCTGAAAGATTAGAGAAATTCTTAAGTCAGAGTGGGTTGAATACAGCATTGAGACTGAAAATAATTACAAAACAAAGAAGTACCTCCACCCCCTCCAAGCAGTGTTTCATTGGCAGCATTCACAATGGCATCAATTTCCAAGGTTGTAATGTCACCTTTAAATAATGCCATCTTTTTGTTGAATTCTGCATTCACTTCATAAACCTCATTACATTCTATTAAAAAAATTGAATAAAAAAAAAAAAAATTACATTTATTTTTCAAGTAAATGACATTTTCAAACTATATTTTAACATCTTATTGACAAACAGAATAAACATCAATGAAGAAATTAAAACACTATAATTCATGTAGTATGTCTGAACAGTAAACCCATTGTAAATTATTGACATTCTAATACAGACACTAACAAGTTCAGTGCTTTACAGTACAAAAAAATTTCATCATTGAAAGATTGAATCAGAAAAATTAGCCCACTTTTGAAAAAGTAAATCAATTCAAATACCTAGATCTTTATTCAATGAAAGAAATGAATTACTTACAGAAATAAAAAGAAAGAATATAGCCTGGAAACATGGCATACTTCAGTAGTCAGAAAATACTCAAAAGTAAAAACATTACAGGAAAAACAAAGTAAACTATTTATGAAACTGTAATCAGACCAGTTGTAACATCAACAAGTGAAACTTGGACCCTAATAAAATGTCGGAAACCAACTAAACACATTGGAGAGAAAAGTTCTCTTGGAAATATAAAGATCAACAAAGGTTGATGAATGGAGAATAAAACCAACCAGGAATGGTAAAGCCTATATAAGGATCCCACACTAGTAGCAGATATAAAAAAGGGCAGGCTATGCTGGGCTCGACATTTAGAAAGAATGCCAAATGACAGAGGAGTGAAGAGGGTGCACTACCAAAACCCCTAAGGAAAATGGCTCAAAAGCAGAACTAGGCTTAGATGGAAGGATGATATGGAGAGGGATATACAGCAGCCGGAAATCCAAGCACGGAAAAGAAAAGCATCAGGTCTGAGTGGAAGAATGTGGGCTGTAGGGCCACAGCGAAGGATGGCTGGATGGATGAAGAATGAATCAGCAAAAAAACAAAAAACGCCATTTGCTAAGGATTATCAATGTAAGAAAACAAAACTAAGGAGCAAGCACAATGAAGTCTAAATTTTTTCATGATACAAATACTTCTTAACTAAAATGTAAAAAGCTCAGTGGTTCATGCGGTTCAGAAGCGAACCTGTCAACCAGCAGGTAGTTAGTCAGAATTTATTCAATGGATTTTTTTTATAAACTGATTTTTTATGAGACCATTTATTTTCTTCTTTCATGTAATATGTGAATATAAGTTAAATTTTAAAAATTTAACATCTGTCAATTTTTTCTGCTAAAAGCTAGAGATTCCCCATAAGAGTAGAGAATTATGAGGTTTAATTAGCTGCAATCTTAATTTTCAATATATGAAAATATGCATCAGTTTTCACAAGTATGTATCTCATAATTCCATAAAAATGCATGAGGAAGTAGCAAATACAAGGAAAATTATTTATGACTGCTATGTTGAATTAATTTACCCTTGACGACAGACATAATTCTAATGAGCACAATTTTGTATTAATTTTAATTTTTAACGGGTTATTGCTAGTTCTTATAAAAAACAATAAAATCTAAAATAGCAAAAATAAATGACAGAAACAATTTATAATTATGTAATGGAGGATGCCCTATTCATAACCAGAAAAGGTTTAAGTCAATCTTAAGGCCTCACCATCTAATACAGCGTTCTCAACATGTGGGTTGCAACCCCTTTTGGGGTCAAACAACCCTTACACAGGGGTCACCTAAATCCATAGGAAAACACATAATTATGAAGTAGCAACTAAAATAGTTTTATGGTTGGGGGTCACCACAACATGAGGAACTGTATTAAAGAGTCGCGGAATTAGGAAGTTTGAGAACCACTGATCTAATGAATTATCCATGCAAAATAAACAAAGAAAAATATTACAAAATGAAAAAGGTATTTGCCTACCAGGTACAGGAACATTTTTTTTTATGTGCTCTGCATAATATTCTGGCCAGAACTCGATATCTTCCAATGTAGTAAAGCTGGACTTGCACCGATAGTGCCGACGCCTTTCTTCACGAGGCATTGACAAAATTTTTTCTGGAAACAGCATAAATTTTTTTAATTATTATTCTGGCAATCTAGCAATATAAGAAATTATAAAACAGGCAGAAAAAGAATTGATATCTGTGTGATGCTCTGTAGGAATTTGGAATTCCCATCAAGACTACCTGAAAAGTAGAATCAAAGTAAATTGAGAGTACTCGAGGGAGTTCCAAATTAGACAAGGAGAAACATTCTCTTTTTATTGTCCTGTCCTTATATTTCAAGCTTCCACATACCTTGTTCCCCTATTTCCTTCACACAGCTTGAACGCAGTCCTTCATTTATTATCCTATTATAACTGGCTAGCCAACCATTTCCGAAATTGCAATATTAATCAAGCTGCTCTTCAGCAATGTTTTAATTATTTTCAATTTATTTTTCTTAACCCAATAAATCACTACATAAAAAAATTTAATTTAGCTGGTTTAATTTTATACATAAAAATAGAAATGTCCCTAAATGTCCCTGTTACAGTTTTAACTTTTCTACATTAATGCTTGAAACTACATCAATTGGTCAATTATAGCTACTTTTCCATTTATTGAAAACTCAAAATTAAATGACGCTGTTTCATTTATGTTCTTATCAAGAACATTTTGAAGTCAAAGATAATTTAATTTTAAAAATCTGATCAAGCAAATTTAATAAACATGTGAAAGGCTAGATTTATTCTGTGGGCCTTACATTTCAAGGACAGTAAATAGGTGTTTCAATGTTTCTGGTTTCTCAGTTTGGATTATGCGGATTGAAAATGTATTTGTATGTTTGGGAGAGGGTGGGATTCTTCTGTTTTCTAGTTTATGGGGGGTGGGGGTGGTATTGGTTATTTTCAAGTCATGAGAAAGAGATGATGAAGTTGTTTTTTTATGCTTTGCACAAGGGAATAGGAAGATTTACTTTAATATTTTCAATAACTTTATTTCGAAAGATAAGAATCTAAGGAACCTGACTGATACACATTTTCACTATTTTTAAACCTGGCTATAAAAGTTTTTGCTTACTTGTGTTAAAGAGACAGATAATACTGTTATGGTTTAAATTACAAGAATGACTCAAATAAGATTCGCAACTCAATATTTAAAAGGCTATAGACATTCACATATTAGGAATATAACATACCTCTTTCAGTAACAATAGCCATTAACCTAGCATCTTCTGCTCCTCTATTGCTTGAACTAGTTCTCCTCATGAACTTTGATTTAACTTTAGACATTGTTATTTTTGTATCCAACAATCCTGGTTAAAATGAAAAACTACCTCTAAGACTTATATAATTGGTATCTCTGCTAACATCATTACTTAATGGTGTCTCTACCGGTACTGTTGTTTAAAGCAGCTCTGCTTATACCAAATGCAGCTTCTTTACTTACACCACTAGTTATTGCATTTCTACTGACACTGACAGATGTAGTTTCTCTACTGAAAGCATCATGCACAATATATTGGTCAGTACCATTATTTCATCCATATCTATTTTCTCTGTATTGCAGAGTTTTTGCCATTTAATTTTCAAATTCCATTCTAAAGAGGATGAGCAAATCCTATGATTAACAATTTCATATCATGAGAGTCCATCATCAGCAGCTATTTCGTTTTTATAAAGTTTCCCTTTTATGCCTTCTTTAATCAAATCTGTTTGTGTCACAGCAGTAATATGCATGTGTTTATTGGTTGCTTTGTCTCTCCAAGATATCTTCTTGTCACAAATATCCTCATTTCTATTGTCCTCAGATACTATTTCTGATGTTTCTTGTTGGCCTGTTAGACTTCATTTTTCATTACCTAGACTCAATGGTAATTGAGGAGGCCATACTTAATTTAATAATTGTTCTACACTCTGGGCAAAAATATGTATATAGTAACTGTACTACAATTATAATAATATTCTGAATATGCTCAAAGATGGAAAAAATTATTTAATAAATCTTAATAACTCCAGTTAGTAGTATTTGATATACTAAGTTATTAGGTCTATCTTAAGATTACAAATTTTTTTTTTTCAAATCATTAAATTAAAAATTTATAATTATCAATTATATATATACAGTGATTCTTCATCTATCACGACATGTTCGCTTTTTGTAGATTTTTTACTTGTATTTATCTAATTTTTTATCGTAGATTTTTTGCTATATCGGGGGATTTGTGATCTATAGGTATTTTTATATATTTATTATTTTAATTATTTTTTCAGTTATCTAAGCATTTACTAGCATACAAAATTGAAAAAAAATATTTTTGAAAAATACAAAATATATTAATTAGTACATATTTAAATAATAATAAATCCAAATGAAATATTTAGCGTACAACAGATGAAAACTCTCATACATGGAAAACACATCTTTGGCAGCTGTCTGATGGATGGGAGGTGAAGCTAACCCCCACAATTGACAAGGGATCACTGCATGTGTGAATGTATCTATATATATTTAAGTCAACTCAAAATAACTATAACTACTACTTATAATTATAAAGACAAGAGAACCAATGAGTATTTTCAGTTTGAATGTTCTTTTTAATTAATATAAATATATATTTTTTGTTAGGGCAGTGTATTTTTAAAAAAAATTATATAAAATATTAATAGTAATTAGAAACATTAGCCTATATTTTATTTGGCCTAATAATATTGCATAAGTTATTATAAGTTATAAGCTTGATTTTATTACTGATTATGGTACTGGTACTTTTAGTTTCATTTAAGTTATTACAATGAAACGAAGAAGAGCTAGCCAACCTAGTAAAGCGTCTCGACAAGACTTCATCATCCAATGGCATGCAAATCAGTGCCGAAAAGACAAAACTGATGACAAATAACACCACCGGCATTGCCACTGAAATTAAGGTCGGGGAGGAAAGACTAGAGACTGTAAGCAGCTTCAAATACCTAGGAGCAATAGTCTCAGAAGAAGGCTCCAAGCCCGAACTGATGTCCAGGATTGCCCAGGCCACAACAGCACTAAAGAGGCTCAAGAAAATATGGAACGACAAAAATATAGCCCCCAGCACCAAAATAAGGCTGATGTGCTCATTAGTCCTCTCCATTTTCCTGTATGGCTGCAAATCCTGGACATTAACAGCAGAACTTGAAAGGAAAATAAAGGCGATGGAAATGAGAAGTTTCAGAAGCATTTTTGGCATCGGCTATAGGGACCATATCTCCAATGATCAAGTGAAAGAAAGGGTTTGTCAGGCTATTGGGCAATAGGATGACCTCCTGGTGACTGTAAAAAAGCGCAAACTACAATGGTATGGCCACGAGACAAGGAAACAAGGGCCCGCCAAAGAAATCATGCAGGGCACCATAAGAGGAGGGAGAAGAAGAGGAAGACAAAGAAAAAGATGGGAAGATAACAATGAGTGGGACGGGACTAAAACTAGGCGATGCTGTGCGTAGTGCAGAAGACAGAGACGAATGGAGGATAGTTCACATGCCATTCTGTGGCGCCCTAACAACTACGGCTAAGGGACATGATGATGATGAAAGTTATTTAATTTTAATAAGTATACTTTGATTTTGATTTGTTTGTATTTTTAAGTGAAGACAACGCTTACAGGACTCTTCTTGTCTTAGAACAGAGTGGGTGCTGTGACAGACATTACATTACAATATTATTATAATTATATAAAAAATTTAATCAAGAAGTTAATTTTTTTAAAATAGAACAACTGAAATAATAATTAATCTCATTGAGTTGAATATTGCCACTATTCCCTATTTAAACTATGGGTCTCATTGTTATCTGGGATAAGGCACTGAGCATTTTCGTTCGTAAAATACATCCAAAAGAAACTTCGTATTTTAATGTTATGAACCGTAAAACTTCGACTTTTTCAGTTGTAATTAAATTTGAAATCATAGTACTGAACTACTCCGGTTTGATGTTTAAAAGTTGTACTTCCGGTTCTTTGTGCACAACAAATCAAACTAGAAAATATAGAAGAAGGTGTTAGGCGAAATGTAGGCCTATTTATTGGAAATCGTGATTTTAATTTTAAAAAAGAGGGCGAATAATTTGTGCCAGACAGACTATAATTATACTAGTTATAGCTCGCCAAACATTAGCGTGAACTTCCCATCATCTAAAGTTCATTGACAAAACATGAACTCAATTAACGCACATTTGTGAATGATGATTTAAGAATCCTAATTTTTGCTACACCACTCCCCCCCCCCCTCAAATTGATACGTCATTGCACACTTTATTACACGTCCATGAACTAGGCCTATATTAATATTCGTTAATATTCGTTTGTCTCAACCACATTTAAACCGAATATTTATTACACTACACCATATTTAAATTGAGACGATTTCATTTTCCGAAAAGAAAAGAAAATGTTACGCACTAAAAGCAGTCATACCACAAGCAAAATATATTTATGAGTGAAGATTTTTTAGGAAGACAAAAATTATCATAAACTATATGCACAAAGAAGGTTTCTTTAATTTTCGTCTTAATCTTATAATTACGGCAATAGATGTATTTGTATATTTATATCAGCATATAATTCCCCCGCTTCCTATCTTATCGAACCACTATCTGTCTATTCACCTCTTCGACAGCATCGCTCCTCCGCAGACGAGCGTATTCTTTCTGCCCCAAAACTCGCACAAAAACATACGGTGAACCATCGTTCTCCTTCCGTGCCCCCTATATGTACGCTCCTATATGGCAGTGAAGTGTGGACCACATATACCAGTCTTGAGCGGAAATTCAACAGCTTCCATCAAAGATGTCTGCGTCGCATTTTACGCATTCGATGGCGGGACAAGGTGCCTAACACAGAGGTCTTGGAACGTGCACACATGTTTAGCATATTCTCCGCTCTTAGCAAGAGGCGCCTTCGCTGGCTATGCCATGTAAGAAGAATGGAGGAAGACCGTATCCCAAAGATGGTGCTGTATGGAGAGTTGGCAGAAGGGACAAGACTTGTTAGACGGCCACGCCTGAGATTTAAGGACGTTTGCAAAAGTAGCATGAGGGAAGCCAACATTGGTATCAACAAATGAGAGATCATTGCCGAACAACGTTCCAGCTGGCGAACAGCAGTGTATGAAGGAGTAAAAAAGGCAGAAGATGCGCGAAACGAAGCCTTTGCAACAAACAGAACAATACGGAAGACCAACCATAACCAGGAATCAATACTCTCCTGCGAGAAATGCAGTCGAGATTGTCCCAGTGAGCCACTCGTCGAAGTGTAGGACTACATTATAGCCACTCCATCGTCTCGCCAAGACGGAAGGATGCCATATATAAAAGTGTAGGCATCACTTATATATATTTAGCTTCCGGTATGTACTGCTTCCTCTTCATTATCGGCACTCCCCCAACGCTTCTTATATTATTTTATATTAAGAGTACGGAGTGTGGGGGAAAAAAAACACGCAGCGAGATTTCGAGCGTGACGTCTAAACTCCGTTCTGGTTGATCTTTCCTTAGACTAGGCGACTATTGTATTAATCCATTTAGAGCCACGGGTATGGTGTAGGGCTGTCTGTTGGACATCTTTTAAAGGTAGGGGGGTAAGATGTATTATTATCTGTAAGTCTTATGTTTAAATGCCAGCATGTAGGGGATAGGAGGACTCAGTGGCGTAACTAGGGAGTGCGGACCGCACCAAATGACAGCATCTCAGAGGGTGACACCAAATTTGAATATTTACAGAGTGCATACTGCTCGGTCTAAACGAATGTCATAAAAGGATAACCGATTGCACGTTAACAGTTGAGTTGATATATAATCGTACCGGTATGCCAAATGATTACCCTGGGCCTGACCCTGGGGTCCGCCACAACTAAAGTAAATTCAGATTATGTATGGCACTGGCACCATAATGCCTCCCCAGATCCTTAAAAATGTCCTTCCCCTAATCAAAAAGTCTCATAGAAACATTGAATTCGATTATACTCTTTAAGTCTTTTTTGGTGGCCATTTGATGTCCAGGATCTTTCTAAGGCAAGTGTTTGTGAAGGTCTGTATTCTCTGCGTATTGCTCGCTGCTGTTCTCAAAGTTTAGGCTCCATATAGTAGGACTATTTGACATGTGTGTTTAAAATTCTGACTTTGGTTTGAAGAGTCAGCTCCTTTTACTCCTATATTTTATTTTATATCACAAATTCTGACCTAGCTTTTCTAATTCGAGCCCTGAAATCCACTTCGGATCCACGATTTAAGTCAATGGTACTGCCTAAGTATGTGAAGGCGTCCACTTCTTCCAGTGCATTTCCTACCAGAGACATATGCTCTTGGCTAGCCGAGTTTACCTTTATGATCTTTAGTTTGCTTTTATTTATATAAATAAATAATAATTTATATAAATAAAAGCAAGATTCATCGGCGCCCTCGATTTCTACCCTAGACCCGATGAAAATGGCAGACCTGTTTACCCTCAAACTCTTAAAATCGTACAATAATATCATCTCAAAATCGTTCATTACCATATATTTATAGTAAAAAAATAAACATATAGTATATGTTTACACCTCAAAATCCTACATTGTACGCCAAAATCGTAAGAGTAAACAGGTCTGAAATGATCAATAAGTTTGGTGACGAGAGATCCACTGCCTAGAGGCGTAGCTACCATTAGTGCAACCATGCGGGCCAATTCTTTGTTTGCCTCTCTACATGTCACGATAGAAACTGTGCAGTTGTCTGAATAGACCAAACGCAACTCCACACATCTGAACTTGTAGAAAGGCCTGTTAGTTCCAACTGTGGCCACTTCGATTTTTAATGTCCCCCGTAGGTTTCCAACCTTCACCCATTTTAAGTCTGTGGTACTTATCAGATTAATAATATATTAGCGGGAATAGGCTCAATGGAAATCGATTCTTATTTTATAATTTAAAAAAAAAAAACAGCTTTTCCTAAAAACAACAACCTCAGGATGCTTGGTGGGTTTTTTAAATGATGACATCATTTGTTAAGTAATTCGTATTTAAATACATCCTGTTTTATGCTGATCTGACTTTGAGTTTGAAACACGTTAAATTTCACCAGCAACTTTATTTTTACCAGTGACAGACAATAGACTGTGATCTGTAGGTCCACTCAATATAAATTAATATCAATAGCTAATACACGTCTGTAAAACAAAGTGACAGCAGATTTTATAATAAACGTCGGTCATCTACTTTTAGTAGTTAACTTTTTCGACGCCAGCTTAACTCGATCCCACTAGGCACTGTGCGTCTGTGATGCGAGTAGTTATTGTATTCATTTTACATACTGTATGCTTATTTATTTACTATTAAGATACCGTATTGTACGATTTTGAGACGATATTGTACGATTTTAGGACTTTGAGGTACAGGTCTGTAATAAACAAGAAAATCTAGATAAAATAATTTGCAATTGAAAATGGTAAATTAAGGCGCATAACAGCCGGGAGGTCTCCGCACGTGTGAAGATCTCCTAGTATCCTTAACATAATATTTAAACTTAAAGTGTATCACAACGTCTCTTGTTCCATACGTTTTATCAAGCAAGTTCCAGTACCGTCGGCGGGCCAGATGAACTGGCCGCGCGGGCCAGATGATAGGGCCCGCGGGCCGTAGTTTGGTGATCCCTGCATTAGGGGAAATAAACTTAATCCTATATAAGGTTTCCCACAAGTTCCCCCGCACATTTAACGGCAATGACGGAGTTGGTTTTAAAACTCAATTCGTTTGAATTCAATGTTTTAAATTTTCGATCAAATCAGTGAATTTGCTATGGGAATAAAAATGGGGCCAAGCTATGCATTTATATTTATGGCATTTATGGGTAGTGGAACATTGTTGGCTGTATATCAAATCAAGAATGGGTTTACTTGCCAAATACCCCTTGCACATTAAGTACAGAAAGTGTTGTACAGGGGAGACAGGCCATTAGCCATAATGGCTGTTTCAAATTTATAAAAAAAAAAATTAAAATAAAAAAATAATAATAATTTTAAAATAGAAAACAGGAACTGTGCCACGCTTCTAAACATTTCAACAATGGTAACCACAATTGGTCCTCATTGGGATATCTGAATATTGTAAACAAAAAGTACATTGGAAGAAATTAATTTACTATGGATATACAATTAATTAAAAGATTTGGTACTTATGGACTCCATAACAACATGAACTTAATTTACCATGTTACAGAGCAGCAATATAGTTTCCTGTTTGGTTATGAACTGTACCTCACCCCAAAGTCCCCAAAGATGACCAAACTTTTTATTATTTTTTCCCCCTTTACTTCTCATTTAATAGGTAGAGTAATATAATATTTTGTAAAATTTAATTTAAATTTGTGTAATTTTTAATGAGGAAGGTGTATAGAGTTAAAGTCTACAAAACATATTTATATTTTGTCATTTCATTAAAGCCTAACTATACTTTACTTACTTACAAATATTGTTTTTGTCTTTAAATTAATTAATCAACTAGGTGAAAAGATGTTGATAACCAAGAAATTATTTTAAAAATCTAACTTTGGCTCCCCACCATGCAGATCTGTTTACTCTTACAATTTTGGAGTACAATGTAAGATTTTGAGGTGTATACATTATTTTTACTGTACATTTATCTTTTACTATTAAGATAATTTATTGAACGATTTTGTGATGATATTGCACGATTTTAAGAGTTTGAGGGTAAACAGGTCTTAAGAGTTTGAGGGTAAACAGGTCTCCACCATGCCTAGCCCCCCAGTCCACACCTAAACCCCCCTCCCACACACACACACTTTGCCCACCCCATTTTTCAGACAACTTATGACTCAAGATGAGTAAGAATACAAGTGAAGCTAAATATTATTGAGCAGAGGTTTGCCTGGGTAAAAGTGGAGGTGACTTTTACTAATACTATATTTGAAGAATAAGGGCAAAGAATAGGGTAGGGTGATGAAAGGCAGAGGATGAACTTTATTGCTAATAGAAGGAAGGGGGCCGAATATGTGCTAACAATATAAGGAAGGAACAGAGTATGCACTGACAAAATAAGGAAGCGGCAGAGTATAGACTTTCAACACAAGGAAGGGGCCAGAGTTTGTACTGACAATAGAAGGATGGGGCTGAGTATGTAATGAAAAGATAAGGAAGGGGCATATATTGTACTAACAGTAGGAAGGCGATTGGAGCGTGTATTGACAGAAGAATAGGGATGGAAATGTACTGAAAACAATTTGAAAAATATGAAAGATGTACTTATAACAAAACAGAATAAATGCATCCTGAAATTAGGGCAGGTGTTCTGAAACTGGGATCTGCCAGGGGAGGATAAAAACACAGCTTAAATAAATGCAATAGTCACAAAATGTTTGCCGACATTTATGTAAATTATATTATAAAAATAATTTTACAATATCCTCTTGGCATAGATTTACTTATTTTGAGTTGTATAGATTTTATAAGTTTACATTACATACATTAGAATAAGAAACTAATAAGAAGGAATGATTTACCTGGACACTTATTATGTCTACGAAGTTGTTTGATAAAAAAAAAAAGGCTTTTTTTCATTTTATATATTCCCTATGCATTACTATACCTATATTGCAAAGTGAACGTTCTTTTTTCAAATTTTAAACCAGGACATTTAAAATACTTTTAGCACAATGAGTGTAAAAAAACAAACAATTATTTGTGGTTACAAGGAGAACACCTTAGGATAATCAATAATACTTATAAATATTAATTTGGTTAAATAATATATTTTTAACTTTAAAAAATTATTTATAGAAGTCAGTTGTAGCCTACTTGATCTTGAGTTAAATTAATCATTTTTTTATTTTGTAGTCTTCACCATACCGGTACTGTTAACAACTCATGACTGATCAGGACTTATATCCAAATACCTGTAGCCAACGTTCCCTTTAAGATTTACTGCTTCATGTGCAAAATCATACCGTTATGTGCAAATGTTTACAGTTTACAGCATCAATTTTTTTGTGTGCAAAATTTTACAGCCCACAAACACACACTTACATGAAATTTTGCTGCGCGGATACTCAAAACTGCTGCGCGGCCGCGCAGCTTAAAGGGAACATTGCCTGTAGCCATAATTTATAATTGAATATTGTGACAAGAAGAAAGTTAAAAACCAAAAAAAAACACTAATTATTCCTCAGGTCCTACCTTTTTCTTCTTCAAAGTCCATTTTATTCTTAAGACGACTGCGTGTTAATATGTTCTTAGAATTAGACTCATGCTGTTTCACTGTTTTATCATCCATGTCCATGTTGTCATCAAGATAATCATCTTTCTGGGCTTCTTCTTTAGACGGCAATGAATCTCCAGCCGCAGCACGATCATGATCACTACTACTACTACTAGCACTACTGCTACGTCTACTACTAACACCACTATGTTGATTTTCAATACAGGCATTGTCATTGTCATCATTTTCTTGACTTGAAGTACAACTGGCACTTGCATCGGCGGCATCTACTCCTAGATGATCTACTTTTGATGAATTCCTGTTTGTCAAATTTTGTACAGGTTTAGAAGTTTCAGTATTGTCAGTGGTGACTGACTGATTTTTTATCTTGCTGGCTTTAGACTTGGTTGATTTTGTAGGACTAGTAGTACTAGTACTAGTAATATTGTCTTTGACTTTGTCTTTATTTTTACTTTGATCAGCATCCGCCATATTTCTGCACTGAAAATGAAATGAAATATCCGACTTGATGAAGTGTCCAGCGGACTGTAAGAAGGGTATATTAACTGTTTTTGATGAACTTTTAACAAAATGAACAGCAGTGAATAAACTATTCAAGGTTTTAAACATAGCAGGACAGTTTCATTAAGTGCTGTAACTGTAATGAGAATAAAAATTCAGTTTCATTTCACCACTTCCTGTTTATAGACTATTTTTAGTTTTTCCATGGGCTGCGACTCCGTATAGTGGAAACTTTGCAACGAGCAACTGATTACTCATTCTTCTCATCTATGTGACTCAACCTATGTGAAGTCCCATGGCATGTAGTTGTATACCTCCATGTAAGAATGCATATTCTAGTAGCCTACCTTTGAGCTTGTTTGATGCCTGCTACCTGGTTCATAATGGCATAGGTTCATTTATATTGCTATTTATGTTAATTAGGGTTTTTTGTTGTTGTTGTGTTTTAAAGTAAAGCAAAAGAAAAAAAAGTTTGCAGGGAAGAGTTGGGCAAAAGATTTGTTTAAAAAATATATCATTTTGGTTTACAAAATATGGTTTTTCAATCAGATTTTCTAATAACAGTTATTAGCATTTCTGACTAAGCAGTAATACTGTGCCACATTCATATTTCAAACTAATAAGTTTGTGATGGAACGTTTGGGTTGGTTTGTACTCAGTGAAGTAGATGTTCGGTGTGTTTGGTTCGGGTTCTGTTCAGTTCCCATCTCTAATTCGAACCTTTACCTGCCAGCGTGGACTCTGATTAAACGTCTCAAGTGACAAATATTCACATGCGAGATGAGATGTCTAAGGTGAGCAGCTGGTAAAATAAGAAGTGACCACATTCAGAAATAGGAAATAAGACGAATATTTGTTTCCATCACAATCGGCCTGTATGTGGCCCAACAACAAATCAGTTGGTTTGGCCACCTGGCCAGAATTCCTGTCAACCAACCTGCCTTGCAGTTTTCAAAATCAGGCACGTGGGTTTCGGGAGCCAGACGCCGTTAATTGGGTTAACTGTGTTTGGGACATTCTAAAAATCAACAACATGAACCACCAGCAGGCCTCACACCTTGGGGCAATCGGTCAATTTTACGGCTCCTCGGTAAAGGCTGGCAGGAAAAGAAGAAGAGAAAAATGGTAAATTAAAATAAAATAACAAAAAAAATGCGTCCACAACCATCAACAAAGTCAGTTTACACCTATGCAGTGGCATAGTAGCGGGGGTGAGCAGGGTTCGGTCCACCCGGGTGGCACTTTTTAAAAATTTATATGTGACGGGCGGCATTTATTTAATCTGACCATGACCCATAACTCAATGTTATAGTCTATTCAATCTAACATTGTTTTCACCCTTTGCACCCTCCCCCCCCCCCCCCCC